GTAAAGTCGGTCATTCATATTTTAGGGATGAAAATATTTTCCCCATTAGGTGTGATTTGCCACCAAAAAGTCTGAAAAATGGAACACTGGGTCACATTGAGTGACCGTGTACTCGACAGATGTGGGAACATATGTGCAAAGCTGAAAGTGTCTGTGTCTTCAAATGCGCGACCTACGCTCTCGCAAATACAAGGTATGAATTTGTCCAAATTTATCTGCCTCTCCCTGTACCTACATGTAAGAAAAGAGTTGATAAAATTGCAGCAGTTTTGCGAGTAACAATTGGCTGTAAAGTGTAAAATAGGCCTTTCAAACTTGAACAGCAGTACGCCAAAAAACGTCTAAAGGCCGAGCTACACTATGCGTGATCTTCCAAGAAATTACGTGCGTGATCTGCGAGTTTGCGGGTTTTGCAGAAAATCGGTACGCAGATGAAGTTCAGCTGATAGGAAATATACAGGATCGGCTACACTGGGGTCACGCAAATTCAGTCAAGGAAATCCCGGACGTTCACTACAGGAAATGCCGGATAGTCAGGACGGTCAGGATATTCCGTACCGATACAAAGCTCAGAGCTACGAACTTTTTGCAGAATCTGCAAGTGATATGAGACAGTTATTGGCGCACTTGGCGGCGCATCGTATGAATCCAAGTGACCTAATTAATAATTGTTTCTTCAATTTTCATGTGTTATTGATGTTTTATTATCAAAATAAACTATTTATCGATAAAATAGTATAAAGGATAGCAGGCTTAAGCGTTTGTTGCGAAACCATTTATAAGTTGTTATTATTACGTCAGCGTACAATAATTCACGGAAAATCTGGAAAATCGCAGAAACCGATGTCAAGGGAGTCTCGCAATCACGCCTTTGCAGATCACGCACGTAGTTTCCTGGACGGTCATGCATAGTGTAGCTCGGGCTTAAAAGCGCCAAAACAAAAACTTAGATGTAAAAATTAGCCGCACCCGAGAGAACTTAGCAATTACCTAAGTTGTCCTTAAACATCAACGATGCCCTTTTCACCTATCATTATTGAAAAAAAGAACGACTGAATTGAAACGAGCCTGTATGTTTGTTATGAAATATAGGTACTTCAATTACCAACTACCTACAAACTGTGACTTTCAGTAAGCATTTATGCCATTCGATTGCCTTTTACACAAAATACAATTCGCAAGACATCGTCGATTTTTGCTGCCATTGCCGCAGAATAGTCGATGTTCCTCTCAAAGTCGCTCTGTTACGGATCATCCCTTCGGACAATCGCTCATACATGCGATCCGCTGTTCTAGAGGTCGTCCTGAACGTGGTCGCTGCTTTTCTGTCGCTTTTTTAGAGTCAGTTTTCTGGACAAGTGTTTGAGATGTCAGCCGAAGAAAATAACTTTAAACGAGCACTTCTAATTGGCATTATGCAAATGAAGACTGCAAGACTGTCGGCTTATTGCAACCCGCAGATTACAATTATTCCGATCCAGCACCTTGAATACCTGGAGCGAGTCAGATTATAGGGAAAAAATGCAGCTTTCCAAACACATTTTCAATCGATCCAACACAAAACGTTCAGTGCTGGTTATTGAGCTGGAAAATATACCTACATCGGAAGAAACTCTTCAATTCGGAATAAAAGAGCACAATACAACTGGAGATACAAAATCGATCTAGCTTCCAGCTTCAGCAAATAAGGGATAAACGCAATCATAAAAATAAATCCGGTACTTACCGTCGACGACCACGAGACCTCACCGGGTAGGTACTGCACTTATTGGTGATCAGCGATGTCGGATCCCGTCGGCCGCGGGTTCTCGGCGTTCACCAACGTGGAGTAGGAGAGCAGCCAAATGAACCTGAGAAGAGCGCTCGGTGTAATACGATACACTGATACGGGAAGCGCTGGTTGTTCGGGGACAAGGTGCGCGCACGGAAAACAAGACCGCTACTTTGATTATGCAGACTGCAGACACCCTAGCGCAGAGAAAAGAGGAAAAGTGACAATAGAGGCGAGTGAAAGAAATATTGAGGAAGAAAAAGGGAGCGCGAGGAATAGGCGAGACGGAGAGAGAGGAGGCGAGGGAGAGAGATGACATCAGAGAAAAGCAGGCCGAGATGGCTGATGGAAAGGGGGAGTCAGAGTAAAAATGGGGAGCTCAAGCTACGATTCGAGAGAGCACATGAGAGAACAATATCAGAAATGAAGCATGCGGCATGTGGAGTGGATAGGAAGAAATGGGAAGCCGGGGAAAAAACATAATTTAACTTACCGGAGTGCGAACTTCACTAGCCGGATTGTTCAGCCCTGAACGAAGATTGTGATTGGAATGCTGCGCATAACAAGCACAGGCTTGATGATAGCAGACACCAGCGAATTCTGATATTTGAATGCACTTCACTAATCAAAAGCAGGATACGAAATAATCAATCTGCGAGTCCCTCCAATAAAAAATTTACGCAGCAACGGGTCAGCTTCTCAACAATAGACACTTTCCCAGACGCCCATCCCCAGACGCCCGATTGCTCGCGCAAACAGAACGTTCGAGAATCACAGCAGAAGGCGTTGCCATGGAAACATCATGAAGTTAAAGAAAACTATCGTTTGTATTATACCATTAAATAACAAGAAGTTGGGTCATGTATTTTATTTTTATTTCATTATTTGCATGACATCTGCAATGGAAAAAGTACAGCTCAATGCGTTGATTTTTTTAGACGATGCTAACTGCAAGCTTAAAGTTCCTGAGTAGAGCTGCAACTTTTGTGTTATGCGAGTTCACACTCTACATAACCCAGTTTACATAGGGTTTGTTGCAAGCTTATATCTCCGTCCGTGATGTTGCAAAAGATGCCAATGATGCTTAGCAATTTACAAAATGATCCCCTCTAAATATATGAAGACCACTGCATCGAAATTATCGCCAAATTAACGAGCTAGAGCCTCGTCAAATATGCTATGTAAACCGGGTTCATATGTCACATTGCTCCACTTTTTGAAGTTTGTTGTGAATTCAAATAAGAAGACTCTTACTTCAACTTTTGAAAATTCAACTCCACTCCGACCCCGTGCTCTACTACAAGCCTTTTGCTGTTTGCATCGCTGCATCGCAGTAAACTCACGTGTTTGCATAGGCGGCGGAACGGGGGTGGGGTGAGGGAGGGGGCATGGGCACCGTGTCCCACTTTAATTTTGGCATTTTAACCCTCGGCCGTATAGGAGAGGGGGTCGAACGGACCCCCCCCCCCCTCGGTTTTTCGCGAATAACTTGCGTAAAAAGCGGCCGATCGCGACGAAACTTTTAGTACCCTCGAATCAATCAATTCTACACCTACTAATAACTAAATATGCCTTTTCATCGGCCCGCCAGGCCGCAATGAGCGCGGGTAGACAAAACCCGCATGGGCGGGTTGCATCGCCAGAACAAAACAAAATTTCCCCTTTAAAATGGAAAATGAATATGCTGGAGAGTGGAGCATGGCCTAAAATACTTCACAAATGCATTATGATGTCCTAGAAAAATATGGCTAGAAAATGGATATGGAAAAGGTTTTTGGCTGGTATGCGGGTTTTTGCGGGCTGCTACCACGGAAGTGACACATGCGGGTAGTTGTAGGTATCTGGTGAAGGGTTGCGGGGCGGGGTAGGTTACCTGGATTCCCAAAAAAGGGCACCTCTAACACCTACTCTGAAAATTTTATGACCCTGACCTAAATGACCTTTGACCTATTTCTTGAGGCCATGTTTGGACAGAATCGCGATTCGGCGTATGTCGGCTCGCATTACCCGCGCGTTTGCAGTCTTTTCGTGGTTTCCAGCGTTGAAACATGTGTTATGATGTTGGTCCCATGCATTAGGGTGAGTGTCAAGGTCACCTGAAGGTCAGGTCAGGTCATTGACCTTTGATGACCTCGGTTCACTTTTCGAGTTTATATGTTTCTAGGCTAGTTTTTGGAGATGAATTCGAATTTGGCAACCATTTGAACATTTACGAAGTAGTTTTGGTGCCTTCGTAACAAGTTACGAAGCTGTCAGAGGCGGTTGACACTTACTACGAATACCCGGCACGACCCCTACTGTTTGACCTGACCTGATGCTGCCTCGACCTGGCCTAAATGCATGAAGACATCATCTGTGATCAAAAGTAACATGACATTCGTGATCAGCTTCCCGAAAAACCCCTAGCAGCCACTCTTTACGACTTTCTAACAGGTTCCGATTTTCCCGACTTTTGGTTCACTGACCTCAGACCTGACCTGGAAGGTCAACCATTGACCTAGGACCCTAAAATTGGGTATCATAGGCTTCCTCTCGTCACGGGCAACACGCTCGTTTTTTCGCGAAGCTCTAGCTCGATCAGGGGCCAAATGGCAAGGACGGGGTCCAACGGCCCCCTCCTTATACATTCGCGGCTGGAAAAACACCAATACAGGCAGAGGCGGATCCAGCTCAGAGTTTTTTTTGGGGGGGGGGGAGGGCAAACCATAACAATTTATCGATTCTTTCCATGCCTCGTCCATAGGCGTAATGTTAAAATTATGCCGTTTGGGGGGGGGGGGGGGCAAATGCCCATTTTGCCCCCCCCCCCCTGAATCCGCCACTGAATACGGTCGAGGGCCCGGTTTACATAGGGTTTGTTGCAAGCTTATATCTCCGTCCGTGATGTTGCAAAAGATGCCAATGGTGCTGAACAATTTACAAAATGATCCCCTCTAAAAATTTTTAAGACCACTGCATCGAAATTATCGCCAAATTAACGAGCTAGAGCCTCGTCAAATATGCTAAGTAAACCGGGTTATTAGCCCTATGAGCGTTGCCTTGAAAGAATGCTGGGCCAAAAGTCGGCAGTGCCCCCCCCCCCCCCCCCCCCAGTTGAAGGTGTTCCGCCGCTACTGCCGGTGTTTGTATTTGGAATGCTCTCTGGATTTGCCTGAATATTTTTCGTTGAACCATCGTCATTCGTCGCCACACGTCAACGGTCAACACTACCAAAAGTAAACAGACTCAATAAGGGTCGAATTCTATGTATTTGTCCGCTGCAGCGCATACATGCGAAGACAATTAAAAAACGCAGACAGGAACGCACGTCATATCACAGGCAGCCTCGCCAACACCGCCGAGAAACATTCGGTATCGGTGTCTGACGGCCGTGACGTCATCGGTCCCGGGACAAATGACGTCATTGGTTCACTAGCGACGTGTCTCGGCGGATGGTAGCAAAAGTCAGCGCCGAAACACTTGGTTTGATAACTCGGAGACTACGACGCAAGTACGCATACGAGATAGAGATGTCAATCGGATACCAACTTTTTGGTGCACTGATACCGAACCGATACCACCGTAGTGTATGATATTTCAATTCTACTGTGCTTGTTATTTTGTTGGTATTATGAAACCCCACAATGTATGACTTATGAAAGGCTGTGAATTTGGTACGGTAGTATTCCTCTCCAATTTCCCAAATTGGCTCGATTTTTTGCATTTTCCGATAGTTTCGGCTGGTATTTGGTTTGGCATCGGCACCCAGAGTAGGTATCTGGTATCGACATCACTATACGAGCCTACCTACCACTCGGCTATCTAGCTATTTGTGGATCTATATGAACAACTGTTGATGACAGCCCTAGGTGTCAAACAACACGGACCTCTACCACTGCCGAGTCAAGGATCATTCTTATGCTTATTTTCTTTCAAGTAATCGTAATATTCGTGGAGTAACATGCAGATGCAAACCGATGCTTCGGACCAACGTAACTTAAAATGCCCAGTTTTCTACACATGGTGGAAAATAAATCAATACTAACAAAATAAGCGGCCAATTTGAATTCAATGACGTAAACACGGAGCCGAAAGCAAGTTAAGCCGATTGCCGGGAAATGTTTCTATTATTATTCCCCTAGTAAATGCTCCTATAGACGTAAGCGATTCACAACGCAGTCTGATTGGAATCTACATACCGCATTGTTTCGTAATGCGCTTACAACTGAGCCACTCAGCTACATAGTAACGGGCGAATTTCGAATTTAATTAGAGCACTGACTGCTTTTCATTCATGCCTGCAAGCATAAAGCATAATGTGGTCGACATTCTTCAAGGATTTACAGCAATTGGGCTTTTAGCGAAGCTATTGTAAATCAACCCTGCCCTTTCTACATCGGGAAGCAGGACGTTAGCCTAACGAAGTCCAATTACACTAATCAGCGCAAGGCTAACGAGCGCATCTCACAAAACATGGCACGACAGGACTGCATCCAAGTTATTTAAGCCCGATTGAATTTTACAATTAATTTACACCGGTGAAGGGCTGCGAGCTATGTGATTTGGGAGGCGATTGGTGGTGCTACACAACGATTGAACACCTGAATTCGTAATCGTTCACGAAACTACATAATTCGCTCGCTCATTTAATATCTACAAAACATCATTTTGATTCTAGATATTAGAGCTGCAGATAATTTCCGCAGGATTCGAATCGCTTGATGATTATCATAAACTGATCAACAGCAGAAAATCTAGTCAGTCTGAGCATTTTTAGGAAATCGGATGGAGGTTCTGTCCAATGTTCCAAGCCTGCTAACTCAAAGCGTTGACCAATGGCAGCCTATCTGTGACGCTGCATCAGCAATTTAGAACAAAACTAAGGCGGAACCTACATAATCGCTACCCATTCCCATCGACCACAGGTAAACAGCGTTGCCTGATCTATTCTTTTACCACATCACACCAAAACCTTATCTATCGTCGCGAAAAATTCCTAGAATTCTCGCACGACCCCCTAACCCCTCGGTAACTACTTCCTTTACCTCACGAGTCACAACACTCCTTTCTGCATCACAAGTCGCACGTGAACTCCCTAGCCCAAACTCTCTCCCTAGGAGGGAAACAACCTAAGTTACTAGTCCAGCATATCGTCAGTGGAGAGGAGGCCCCCGGTGTGCGACTTGGACTCCTTCATCTTGGAGATGGCGCGGTCAAAGTCGGCCTGGGTGATAGGTCGCAGCTGGGCAGTGGGAGGTCGGCTCAGCTCTCTGGTTACCGAACTTGGGCCGTCAGGGACCGGGCCGGCGCCCGAGAGACTGAAACGGGGCGGGGGGGGGGGGGGGGGCGGCGGTTAGAGTGAATATGTGGGAGAAAAGATGTGGCCTAACAGGGTGAGATGCAAAAAAGGTAAAGTTATTCTATCAGAGTGAAATAGTATGGAGTGTTGAGCCCAACAAAATGAATTTTTTAGCGGGAGTGCTGGCGCAAAGTAAAATATTGCAGAGTGGGTGGTCAACGTGAAAGATTATGGGGGGGGGGGGGGGGCAGACAAATAAAATACAAAGACAGCATTCAAACAAAGCGAAGCTTCACAGAAATAGAGACTGAAAAGTGGGAATGGAAGAATGAACAAGGGGCATCATGATGCCTGGCATGTGGAAACACACTAAAAGAAAACGGATTAAGAAAATTTTCGGCCGGTTAGGTTTGAGTGACGAAGGCTGAATAATTTCACAGTGAAAAATCAGCGACAACTTGTGATTATTTCGACGGCAGTACTGCTTGCATGTGACACTATATTCACATGCCGACTTGTAAAACATTCCTAAACCCCACATATTGTTCCAGCTTTCATTCCCGTTCGTTTTCACACACACACACTATCCTCACACCCCCGGGTAGCGTTCCGTGGCGCCCCTGTCGTGCCATCTTACCCGCCGAACACGGTGGCTGACGGGGAGGTCATGTAGTCCCTGACCGGGTAGATGGCGGCCGTTCGACACAGCTCGCGCAGGTCCGAACCTGCGCAGGCAAACGGGCAGTGTCAGAAATGAGGGAGAATACGGATACAACAGCACTAGACACAGAAATAGGAGTCACAAGTAACAGCGAATGTACATTATGTACTCGTCAAATCACATCAAAGTTGGGAAAAAGGTGACAAAATGCGTCAAAATGTGATAGAAAGAAGGTGGGTTTATAAAGGACGCTTTGACCATACCTTTGACCATTTGGAAGCTCGTAGACCATAGGTAAAATTACTTTTGTTACACGTTATCCTCGGGACGTGAATGGATTCACTATAGATTCACGAATTCGCGAAATCCACAATGAAATACATTTAATCTACGAGGAATTCTTTTTTACGTCATCCAACGTGATTTTCATAGCACATGTAAATATAACCTTTAGACAGCATAGCTTCATCTCGTAGCCATGGCAGCCATCCCTCTCTGTCCCCCCCCCCCTCCCTCACTTCTTCCACCCGTACCTGTGAACCCATCTGTCAGCTTGGCCAGCCGATTGAAGTCGATATCATCCGAGGCCGATTCGCCCCGCATCACCAGGTGTAGGATCGACTTCCGCTGAGGCAGCGTCTGGAACGAAACACGCCGGGGTCGTACTAGGATACATTTTTTTTTTCGAACTACTCCGCACCCATGATCAGGTGACCAGGAGTGCCCCCATGCACGTAATGGTACCCAATGGATGGCTGATATGTATGGTGAGTGTTCTCCCCCTACCTGCGTACTCGTTAGCTACGAGTAGGATCTAAGCCGTAATCGCCACGCTATATATGAATTCTTTTGATGTTAATACATGCATACATACACACATACGTGTCACAAGGGGTATGTACGGCTCTCGCGAGATTAAGGGGTAGGTTTAACCGTTTTACATTTCCGGTTATATCTCAGAAACTAATCGAGCTACGATGAAGCCATTTTAAACGATCATGGCAGGCTTGTTGACGAACAAATCGATCGCATCTTTAACACTCAAAAGCTTAAGACGACCAAGCTATAGCCTGAAGCATACTCAATTTCATTGGTGCAAAACCTGCCGCTAAAACCCGCGAGACCTGTACACAAAAATACACGCAAAGTAGACATATCAAGCATCACGAAATAATCCAGCTATCGTCAGATAATTTCGTTCACCTTGACAAATCAAGGTAACAAACAAAGCACATTGTCGAGAATCGAGAGCTGACAAATTGCCGTCTGGTTATCGAATTCCTTCTCTCGAACACTTCTTATGCATCATAACAAGCTTCACTCGATAGTTCAGATGGTTTCATGACTTCGTAGTTTTCATCAATCTTGGAAGCGACCCAAATTGCAAATAAAAAAGACATTTACCCGTCATCGATATCGGTTTTTAACAAAGGCTTGTTTAGATAACTTCAAGGATTACATCCCAAACAAAAAAAAAACTCTGATTACAACATCATTTACCTAAATCAAAGCGTCCACAGTCACACACCCTTTTCCTGCCATATTCCCACCTCTCCCCTGTTCTGTTCTTCCTCTGTTCTGTACTACTTCAGTACACACATGGCTCTGGATGCGGTCCTCGCTGTATTTCTGGCCTCGAGCAACAGAACACCATAATGCACCACTCTCCGTCACGATACCACCGGCCTCCACGCACGCACTCGGCGGACTCCCGAGCACCAAACTCCCGGTCCCGCTGCACGATCAGCTGATCGCTCTAATGGACGGAGACAGCGGACCCTGGCGGACGGCGGCCGAACTACCGGAGCTAGATGTCACCACTGTACAGGCCAGCTCCCCGCCGTCTACATACTCCGCTGTGTCAAGAACATAACAATTCCTCTTCCCTTAGCTTTTTAAGTTCTACCCCCTACATAATCCGCACTGTTCATACGATAATAATGCATTTGCGACACAACATACCCCGTTGGCACAGCGACAGTATCTTTCAGACCCAAAACTGATACGCGGAACAAAACTAACAAAAAACAATCCACGAACAATCCAACACTCGTCATTCACTTGACAGGTTCACGTAGATCCATACCGGTCCGGAGGTCGGAGTCGAGATCGGTCACGGAGCGCATACCGGTGTGCACCAGAAACCGACTGTTCCCCGGAGTCACCAGCTGTAGCCGCGGAGCTCGGAATAACCGCGTCGCCACGGTTTCCTTCCTCCGTATGATGACCTCCCACCGGCTTGTTCAGCTCTGCAGTAGGCTCGGATACGTTACTGCTGGCGTCTTTCTTCATTTCTTCTGTTTCCATATTCCTTTCGTCCTTCTTCTGTTTCGTTTGTTCGTCCACCTTCTCTGCTCGATTTGTCTTCTTTGACCACTGTGATTTTTGATCGGTTTCGTCTTCTCTTCTTCCTTCGTAGTTTCTTTCTTCCTCCTCTCTCGGTTGTTTCGTTTGGCGTAGTCTTTCTTCTTCTTCTTCGTTCAGCTGTCTCGGTCTTCTGTCTTCCTGGCTTTCAGCTTCATTCTTGCTTTCACGACCTCGTATGTGATCGATATGTCGAGTGAACACCCGACCATCATCCAGCTTCAGTTCGCACAGCTGACTGCGGACGGACGTTACGACTGCAGCATGCCACCTCGGCTCTCCTCTTCCCACTTCCGAGACGTACACAGAGTCACCAATCTTGAATTGACGAGACTGTGCCTTCTTCCTCAGGATTTGCTGGTCTTGCTGAAACTCGACTGTGCTTCGGAGGTCTGGGAAAACCAGATCGAGGTGCGTTCGGAGTTTCCGGCCCATCAGCACTTCAGCTGGCGTCTGCCTGGTTGTTGAATGCGGCGTCGTTCGGTACTTGAACAGAACGCGCGTCAGCCGAACTTCGAGTGTGCCTTCCACATACTTCTTCAGTCCTTCTTTCACCACTTTTACTGCGGCTTCCGCCTGTCCGTTTGATGACGGATGGTACGCTGGGGTTCTCAGATGTCGAACTCCATTTGCTCGCAGGAACGCCGCGAACTCGCCACTGGTGAATGCGGTGCCATTGTCAGTTACCACCACTGACGGCAGTCCGTGCGTTGCAAATGTTACTCTCAGCTTGCTGATGGTTGCTGTTGCAGATGGTGTTGACGTCACATGAGCGTCGATCCACTTGCTGGTGCTATCTACAACAATCAGCAGCCATTTTCCTTCTATTGGTCCAGCGTAGTCGAGATGAAGTCGGGTCCATGGCCGATCTTCAATTCTCCATGGTCGCATTTCTACCGGCGGTGCTGAGCTGCGATGCTGTTGACAGCGCTCACAGCACTTGACAGTGTTCTCGATGGCGTTGTTCATTGCTGGCCACCAGACTGTCGAGCGTGCAGTCGCCTTCATCGCACCGATTCCAGGATGACCATCGTGTAGCAGCCGAAGAAGCCTGCCTTGCAGCTTCTCTGGAACCACCACACGGTTCCCCCAGAGAAGACAACCCATCTCGAGGCTGAGTTCTGTCTTCCGGTTCTGGAAGGATTTCAGCTGGTCCTCCACTTTGTCTGGCCATCCTTGAGCAACATGCGTCATGACTTTGCTCAACACCGGATCTGTAGCCGTGTACTTGCGGATCTGCTCAGACTTCAGCAGCGTCTTCTCCAGCGTCTCCAGCATCATGACTGTTTCTGCTGGTACTGGTGGCGTGGCATCATCCTCCAGAGGCAGCGGATTACGACTGAGTCCGTCGCTGTTCCGCTGTTTGTGAGCAGGCGAGTACACCAAAGTGTACTGATACGCTGACAGGATCGTTCTCCAACGAAGAATCCTCGGTGACGTCATCAGCGGTAGCTGCTTGTCTGGTCCGAGCAGAGCCAGTAGCGGACGGTGATCTGTCTTGATGGTGACGCCCGCTCGGCCCAGCAGAAAACTGTGCCATTTCTTCACTGCGAAGACGATGGCCAATCCCTCTCGGTCCAGCTGACTCCAGTTCCGCTCTGTGCTGTTCAGCGAGCGTGACGCGTACGCCACTGGACGTTCTTCGCCTGCTTCATCCACTATGGAGAGAACTGCCCCGACTCCTACCGGACTGGCGTCAGCTGACACCACCAGCGGAGCGGAGGCTCGGTAGTGAGTGAGGCATGGAGCAGAGCAGAGTAGCTCCTTCGTCTTGTTGAAGCTGGCTTGTTGCTGTTTTCCCCACTCCCAAACTTGACCCTTTTTCAGGAGTCTGTAGAGTGGTTCTGCCACCGTTGATAGGTTCTTCATGAACTTGTTGTAGTACATGATTAAGCCCAGGTAGCTTTTCAGTTGGTGAACATTCGTTGGTGCAGGAGCTTCTTTGATCGCCTTCAATTTCTCCTCTGTAGCATGGATCCCTTGGCTGTCCACTTTGAACCCGAGGTACTGCACCTCTGACTGGAACCATGAACACTTCTTTGGGTTCAGGCGCAGCCCTGCATCATGCAGCCTCCTCAACACCTCTTCCAGGTTGCTGAGATGCTCCTCTTGGTTTTTCCCTGTGATACACACATCGTCGAGAAAGACTACTGTGTGTGGTATCCCTGCCAGCAGACTCTCCATGTACCTCTGGCAGATAGCTGGGGCTGAGGAGACCCCATACTGCAGCTTCTTGGGCATGAAGAGGCCTTTGTGAGTATTGATTACCATGTACTTGCGACTCTCTTCCTGAAGCGGAAGCTGGAGGTAGGCCTCCTTCAGGTCCAACTTTGTGAATCGTTGACCACCCGACAACTGGGTCAGCAGCTCCTCAGTGCGAGGCATTGGATACCGTTCCAGCCTGCTTGCCTGATTCACTGTCAAATCATAGCTTCCACAGAGTCGGACTGACTTCTTGTCTGGTTTGACGATTGTCACTACTGGGGCTGCCCACTCTGAGTGTGAGACAGGCTCCAGCACTCCCTTCTGTACTTGTCGGTTGATCTCATCTTCCACCAGTTGCTTCATTGCCAGAGGAACTGGTCTTGCTTTGTAGAACTTGGCTGGCATTGTTTCATCCACTTGCAGTCTTGCTTCAAAGGTGCAGGTACTTGGTTTGTCTGAAAACAAGTCTGCATACTTGTTCATGAGCTCTTGAACTTGCCAGCTCCCTCCTTCCTCTGACTGAACCACACTGATGAGTCCTGTCAGATCCAGTTGGAGAGCAGAGATCCAATCTCTTCCCATCAGAGCAGGACCATCTCCTTCCACCAGCAGTAGATCCAGGTCTTTTCTCTGTCCATTGATCTCCACTGTGACGTTCACTTTGCCCTTCACTTTCAACCGCTGTCCTCCATATGATCTGAGGATTACACTGGTGGGTTCCATCTTCTTACTCATCTTCATCTTCTTGAAGCTGAGGTAGCTCATGATAGAACGGGCTGCTCCCGTATCCACATCCATGGTGACTGGTTCATTTTCCAGAGTTACAGCCACCTGATATGAGGGTTGTGCCTTTTCTGCCATGTGATACATGTCATACACCTCTGGTGATTCATTCACGGTATTCACCTTCCTCTCTTCCATCTTCGTCTTCTTCCCTGTGTTCCTGCACATGGCTTTTGTGTGACCTTTCTTCCCACACTTGTAGCACTCTCTTGTTTTGTAGAAGCAGTTTTCACTCTTGTGATTTGAACGTCCACACCTGTAGCAGCTTTCTGCCTCACCTGGGCTGTGAGTTTTCTTCTGTTGGTTGTGCGGACCCTTGTTGATTCGATGAATCATCTCTGGCTTCTCTTGCACTCGATCCAGACTGAGATGTTCCACTTCTTCTTGTGCTTTTTCATGAAGTCGTGCAATGTTGACTGCTTTCTCAAGCGTTAGGTCAGGCATGCCCAAAAGCTTCTCCTGCAGCCTTGGATAACCACATCCAGCTACAAGTCTGTTTCTCACATGAATGTCCTTATCCTGAAATGAACATTTTCTTACTTGTGAGCGTAGACGAGCCACGAAAGTCTCCACTGATTCTCCTTGTTCCCTTTTCAGCATCTGGAATTGAACTTCTTCAAACACTTGGTTTGACTTTGGCTTGAAATAGCGTTTCAGCTGTTCAACTGTCACTTGGAACACATCCAACTCTTCCTCTTCCACTGTTGGCAGAGTTTCATATATTTCTTGCATTTCTGGGCCCAAAAGATGCAGCAGCAGTCCCTTTTTCCGTTCAGGCTCAACGGCTCCTATCGCTAAACAATAGTACTCAAGTGATTTCATCCAAACTTCAAAATCTTCACCCTTTCTGAACTGTCTGACACTGGGCAAATAGGGCGCAGCCATCTTTGTTTACTTTTTCTCTGATCAGCTGATCAGCTGTTCACCTTGACCCCTACGTTCCTCCCCTTTTCATTTGAGAGTGGACTCGTCCAATGCCGGAGGCGGTGGCGGCGACGGCTCTCGTCTGGCGTGGTTCCTTGCAATCCTTCCAAAATAATCCTCGTCGCCAATTTGTTCTGTTCTTCCTCTGTTCTGTACTACTTCAGTACACACATGGCTCTGGATGCGGTCCTCGCTGTATTTCTGGCCTCGAGCAACAGAACACCATAATGCACCACTCTCCGTCACGATACCACCGGCCTCCACGCACGCACTCGGCGGACTCCCGAGCACCAAACTCCCGGTCCCGCTGCACGATCAGCTGATCGCTCTAATGGACGGAGACAGCGGACCCTGGCGGACGGCGGCCGAACTACCGGAGCTAGATGTCACCACTGTACAGGCCAGCTCCCCGCCGTCTACATACTCCGCTGTGTCAAGAACATAACACCCCACTCACCGGTTTGCCGATGTGGAAGGCCGCGGGCATCCGGCGCAGAATGGCCTTGTCGACGTCCTGGGGCCGGTTGGTGGCGCCCATGACGAGCACGCAGCGCTCAGAGTCTGAGATCAGGCCGTCCCACAGCGACATGAACATGGCCTTCATCATCGCTGTAGCCTCGTGGTCGTGGGTGGCGCGCGCGCGCAGGAACGAGTCTGAAGGGGGGGGGGGTAAGGGGCGGGGGTAAAGAAGGGGAAGACAAACGGAGAGGAAATGGCTTAGATCAGCATGGGTAAGATTTTGGTGGCTTGCCAATCAAAAATATCACAGGTGGTGAAGCTAAATCTTAGCAAAACAAGAGATAAGATCATCAAAAAATGAGAATAAAATTAATTAAATTACATTTGCCAAAAACGAAATAAGCAGATGCTGAATTTATTCCCTCACCACCACATAAAAAAAATAGTGGAGTCAATGCAACTGACAACAGTTGATGTTTCCCGACACTGGCGTTGAACTGACCGATTTCATCGATGAATATGATGCAGGGCTCCAGTTTCACGGCCAACGAGAAGACGGCGGCGCACAGTTTCTGCGACTCGCCGTACCATTTGTCCGTCAGACTGCTGATCTCTAAGTTGATGAACCTGCCACAGAACATGACACGGTACTGAGAGACCATGAGAGACCAGACCATGTCACACCGGCGAAGACTAACCCCGCGTTCGATGTCTCTCTGACGACGAAGATTCTACGTCGCCCGGCCAATCCCGTTCTAGGTCAGCGGGGGCTCGGCTGCGGTTGTGGAACGTGATTGGCCGGACGGCGTAGAATCTTCGTCGTTCGAAAGACATCAAACGCGGGGTATGTTACTGTGTCGGTGAAAGACTATGTCAGTGAGTAAGTGAATCCATGAACGAAACGTCAGGCCGTCTTTAGATTAATCGTAGTTAGCCGATAAGCGTAATATTGAGGCCATTTAATTACGCACACCAAGCAGGTGAGGAAAAGAAGCGTTGTAATAAACAGTCTTTTTATCTTTTCTTACTTTTGGTTGAAATTTATAGCACTCAAAGTCAAGTTCAGACTTTCATTCATATGTGTCAACTCTAGGATCGGAAGAATGAACGATGCCACAATTGCCACACAAATCTCTCTAAATGTTGCATGGACAGACTGCCTTTGAGACGATAATGCATGGCAGGTTGAAAGCGACAGCTTCCTGTGACAATTTATTTGAAACAGCACGTCAAGATTGATGAATTGAGCTATTGCATCCCATCGGGAACGGAAGGTGTGATAAGGTTGCACTGAAAGCTATACCGGTCAACGACGAATCAGGGGATCTCAAGCTAGCACACGGCAAAAGGAAAACGGTACTAAGTTTAACCACAAAAAATAATCCCCCTTCAATTCGCTCATACACGGTCTGTTTCTCAGCATTCTCTAATTCCCGATCTCGTAAAAGGACATGCAGTGGACTCCGGCCCCGTCCCCCCCCCCCCAGCCCCAATCCAGAATAGAATTCCTTACCGAGTGCAGGCCTCGCGGGCGGTGGCTTTGGCGAGTAATGTTTTCCCGCAGCCGGGCGGTCCGTGCAGCAGGACACCCTTGGGCGGCTGAATCAGCTGACTGCCGCGGAACAGGTGTCGGTTCTGGATCGGCAGGATCACCGTCTCCTTCAGCTCCTGGATCACGCTGTCCAGTCTGGAGCGAGGGGGGAGATAGGGGTGGCCAGAGCTCAGTACCGGGGGCCGACAATATTTTTTTTTTGGGGGGGGGGCGGGGTAGGGGAGCCGGAGGAGATAAAATAGAGGACTGTTTCGCCTGAAAGCGTTCAGTTATTTTTGCAAAGCATGTATGCAACTGAAATCTGATCTATTGATCTCCGAATCCCCAGCATGCAATGCTAAGGAAGGCACTGACATCACAAACTGAACACATTAATTGCCAAATATATTAGGTACTTATTCCCTGAAGTGTATCCAGCTGATTACAGGGATTTCAACGAACGAACTTGGAGTAGAACCAGGGACATTGTCGTACCGGGCGAACATCCGAAAGGTGCTGCTGTCTAAGCAACAGACATGAGCAATAGCATGTATGGGTGCGTGTGTGGGAATTATGCGTGCTGCACACTGTTCCTCGTTTTGTATCACACTATCATGACGTGGACATGTGAAAAGCCTCACTATTGAGAGGACCTTGTCTGAATATATCTGTAATCTAATCTGTAATTCAATCAGGCACCGACAATCATCCCCACAACCTCTGACCTCCGTCACACTGGCTGCTGCCGTGGGCACCTCTCACCCGGCGATGCTGTCCCAGGAGACCTGGATGGACACCGGCTCCACCAGCTGACAGGCGATCGACATCTCATAATCCGTCAGATGGACGTTCTTGTCAATACCCAGACGAGTCATCAGACGTTCAGCCTAGCAAAAATCAAACACTTGTCACTCATCTGGCTACGCTGACATGGATCATGGTAAGTTCAAAAATGTCTATTGAAACAGAAAAGGCATGATCATTATCCATTAATCATCATCCCTTAACTGTAGCCAATTCACAAAAGTTCAAATTACCCTCTTCTTATCCTCCTGTCGTCTTTTCCGAGTTGGGTCCATCATGTCCACAGCCCATTTTACACCCAGGTAGGTGATGGCTGATGCGACAGCTGTCCGCACCAAGAGACTAAGCAGCTCTGAGCGGTCAAATGCTCTGTCCGGCATGGTTTCTGTGAAAGACGAGGCTCTGACATGCAAATCAGAGCGAGGGGCCTCAGTCTGGGTGAACCAAAATAGGATATCAGTTAATGAGCATCGTACACATTCCAGTTTTAAATCTTAAAAATATTTGGTGATTCTGAAGTTGTGCACTTAACAAATCTAAAAGCTATATGACATTCAAGCTAACTCTGGAGTCACTTTTAAGTTTTAAGTTAGCTATACCAATACCCCTTTTTCACTGCTGAAAGGACCGAGGGTTGGGGAAAGTTAGAAGGCTAAGGTACCTACCCTTGGAATATGCGGAATTATTGAAATCCAACAGACAGGCAAAACAAAACTAGCCCCGCGTTCGGTGTCTCTCGGACGACGAAGATTCTACGCCATCCGACCAATCACGTTCCATAACCGCAGCCGGAGTTCTATAGCCTTGCGCAGCCGAGCCCCCGCTGACCTTGGACGGGATTGGCCGGACGACGTAGAATCTTCGCCGTCCGAGAGACATCGAACGCGGGGTAGAAAATAGCAAACAGCAACACCTCAAATCAATAATCGCAACTCAACTTTCTTGGCTGCTTTGACCGAGGGCAACGAGGGGAATCACCACAGATGATGATTGTCTTTGCTGCGCCATTACTGTAAAACAGGCCCATGTCGTCCCCTATCTCTCTGCGTGTCCACTAACACGAATGACGTCACGCATGTGGGCGGAGCTATGGGCGGAGCCTAACGCACGCGGCAGTCCAAGCCGCCATATTTGAATTTATATTTTAATAGAATCTTGCCGATATTTTGGGTGAAGTCAATTTATATGGATAGCTTGGTGACAGTTTAGCTATACGAATAATAATTTATTATGGATGTGCGTATGTTCAGCTTGGAATTGCAATTAAAGTTCCACACCGCATAGATTCGAACTCGGGACCTTTGGAATACTGCGCGGGCACGCTAACCACTACACTACCGCGACCGCGCGGCGGCCGGCGGCAGGGAGGCTGCGGAGACATGGGGGGACATTTTACGCTTTTATGAAAAAAGCAAAAGATTTAGCGAAAAACACGTAATAGATAACTTGCAGAAAATTGTCTGCTTTTTCAGATAAGATACTTAAGTTTGATATATCTTGTGCAGACTTCATTCTACAGTGCTTCGAAAATCGCTCATTTACATGAGGATTGAACGGGGCTTCGAGACTTGACTCCAAATGACGTCACGAGCTGACGTCACGAAAAGGTAGAATCGCCGGACGACCCTACCTGGTATATAGGGCCTTGCTGTAAAAGAAGAGATGGAAAGTGTTTCACCGGGTGCACCTCAACATTTTTATTTTATACGATAAATTTACGTGCAAAATCTTCAGTTACTGCCTTAAATAGACATAAATACATTTAAATAGGTTATTTTGAAAGGAAATATCAAATAAAGGCTCTATCATGCATGAAAATACACTTGATTTGTGCTATTGGAAATAGTGCTAGTGAAAACTTAACGACTGTAGTTGATAAAGCTCATGAGCAGTTTGTAAACGTCCTCAGTCGACTGAAATTCACGAGTGTGGTTTGTCATGTCTCCACCCGAGCTGTCGTAAGTCCACGTGGCTGCACGCTAATTAATTGGTTTCTTACCTTTTTGGGTTATATTTATTAAACCTCTGTGGTAAATAAAGCATGTCCACATAGCTTTAACATATAGCAGAGTTTCGAAGTAGATTGTAGGCCGCTGAAAAGTGAAAACATCCCACCAATCTAAGGCCCACAAATAGTAGAACTATATGAATTAACTTGCAAACCTGGAAAGGATGCTGACATTTTATTTTTGTTTCAGTGATGGAATCCTCTTTGGGATGGGCAATCCACTGCTGGACATATCAGCCCACGGCGACCAGGAGTTCCTTGACAAATATGGTATGTATTGCTAATTGAACACCTTAAATCTTGAACCATTCAGCTGCTTTTGTGTGACCATATTTGGTAGTAAACAAAAAAATATTAAAAGGAGTTGTGGATGAAAATTTCTGTGAAAAGGTATTTAATTTTTGCAAGGATTCGATAGGACCGGATCCTTGAGGCCAAGTGGCCTTTCAAAATTCCGAACTTTATAAGTATAAGTAAGTAAGTATGAATGCATACTGGAAGACATTCTCTCTCGAGGGTTTGCAAACCTTTTGATCACTCGAGGGTTTTTCAGTCACTTGCTCATGCAAGATTATTGTAAGGTTTACCCAGAATTTTCTGCAGTTTAGGTCAGGGCATGCACTACAAGCTTACTTAGTACAGACTGACTTCATCAGTCTGTCCACCCAACAAATGTTTGAATTTATAATGGAGAAGTGAAGTTGCCCGCTCAGAGACATCTCACTCATATGCTTGATCCCCTTTCCTCACCAGGAATGAAGCCTGATGATGCCATCCTGGCCGACGATAAACACATGCCCATGTACGACGAGATGGTCGAGAAGTACAAGGTGAACTACGTGGCCGGCGGGGCGACCCAGAACACCCTGCGTACAGCTCAGTGGCTCCTGGACCGGCCCAACACCAGCACCTTCTTCGGCTGTGTGGGAAGGGATGCCACCAGCGAGACCCTCAGTGCCACCGCGCGGAAGGCGGGCGTCAACGTGGTCTACCAGTACAATGACTCGACACCCACAGGTAAGCAGCGCGCTGGTGTGTTTACGATTCTCGATGATAGAGCGTGATGTCTTATAATCACCGAAGAATTTCGAGCTCGTCGATATCGAAAATGATTTCCCGTCGTTTTGTTATTCTGAATGCTGAACTGAGATAGGTTTATCTGAAAGGTTGAGTGGTTGGCCACGGGCCCGGGTGCCCCGCTAAGCAGTGCCTGTTGCGAATGACACCACGGACCCACCACCCAGTCCCGCCCGCGCCCGGTTCACCGGTGATTTTCATCAAAAGTTGAGCGTATGGCGGGTAAATTAGGTACGATAATTGTCTTTCAGGCTTTAGCGCGATAGCTGCATTCCCAGCGATACCTACCTACAAAACCTAGTGATAATTTGATTGGAAATGAAACGCATTACCTACAGGCATTTTCACCATGCTCCTCGGTAAAATTTCAACTTGCGTGTGGTAGTCAGAGGGGTTTGACGCGACGGACCGATTATGCTATAATTATAGCTATACCTATCGGATAAAAAAGGTTTCTGCGTCCTTGGCCCTGTGAATAAAGGTTGGCTGAATCTTGTCCGGCCTTAATCATGTGTCTCATGACCTGGTGTAACAGGCCGTAAATATCTCATCTGGGCCCTTGAGTTTGTCGGAATCTTTCGAGAAAGAGCGAGATGTTATCTCATCTAGCGTAAATGTTACCGACGTTTGTGGCAATTCGAGCGTAGTTTCGATACGGTGATTTATCGTTTGATACGTCGCCGGCCGACCGTGACTTGGCAATAATAGATTCTTTCTTTTCTAATTAAATGACAGTTCGTTTCATCATTGAAAGTGTTTTTGTGTATGACACGGACATCATCATCATCATCAAAGCCCTTCAGCTAGTCTTAGCGACATAGCTTTGATGTCGCTATGTTTAGCGACGCTGAATTTAGCTGGCTATCGCCGATGTCGGTAATCCATTGTGGCTCGTCTTTTGAACGTCATATCGTGATGTATTGTCGATTATCTCGTTCCTGTTTGTGTCTAAAACAGTTCGTATTGTGTCCTATAACTAGGCTAGCAGTTGTATGGTGTTGACTACAAGTAACCAATTGAACAATGTAAGATGCAACTTCAGCATCGTGAAATGCACACTGGATCCAGTGTGATATAGCTGCGATACGGAAGGCCTGTATCGGACGTGTACAGGCTGACGGCTGCCGTGCCCACAAATTGTCACTCCTGCTGAAGCTCTATCCCTTCCATTCGCCCCTTCTACCCCCTCCCCGTACTGCCGCCTCCCCTCCCCCAGCCGAAAAAATATAATGTGACTTTCGGAATTCTATCAAGGAGCGCTTACCCAACATTGTTTTGCGTTTTCCGACATATTTCCGTTCCTCTCGTGTGCTCGGGGCCCCGAGTCGGCCTATCTGTGACAGCCACGCCCGGGGCTGTCAAGTGGCTGTGATAGACAGGACACATAAGCTCACACAGACAGACAGAGAAAACGCGGTATTAGATGACACAGTGGGCGTGGGATTTTACTCGGTGGGTTGGGAAAAGACTAGGATATTTCGTTGAGGCTGGTAATAGTGAAGTTATGAAGGTACGGTAATGGAAGGAATATGGAGACCAAAACGACATAAATGCATACACAAAGCCAACGAATAGGTCTAATTTGAAAAGGACGAGAGATAAATAAGTTATGTAATAGGTAGATGGAGGTTTAGAGTTGATAGGACTTTCGTTTCATTAACTACAAAACCACAGTTTGCTAAGTGTTGAGTATGTGTTCATTCATTATGTAATTCAACTCAACTCGAGTGCATCAAGCTTGCCAAGCCATGACTTTCCATTCTCGAGGACGTACCCAAGTGCAGTGTATTTGTCGTCACACGCCCGCTATGCGCTGGGTAGTGTCTGGTTTTCGTCAGAGACACATGTACCACTAGTCTAAACAATTCGATTTTAATATGGCTAGCCGGGTGGCTGGCGTATGGTCTTTTCCTCGGCGAGCTAGCAAGGACGTTACTCAAGCAAGGCCCCAAAAACATGCTAAAGTAGGAACTACCCTCGCAAATTTGTTGGGTGCTCGACTCGGCACCCCTTCTGGCTTCTCGATTTATGAATTGTGGTCTGTGGACTTTTGATAAATTGGATTAGCTCCCGCGCTAGTCGCTTATGCTTTATCTTATCATTCCAAACGGTGGAAATATATTTCGTCGAGCTCATTTCGTAAAATTTATTAAGCTTACTTTCTGAGAAAGCCTCGTATTCCGTCCGTATATTCCGGTACCTCATTTTGCGCCGCCGCGTCCCTAATGACCCCGCCTCTTCCTACGTTATTGGGGCCGGAGCGGGCCAGTGGCGTACTCAGGGTGGTTGAACCCTCTGACGCTAGCGGTCTTGGGAGAGAGGACACCGAGGCTCTCCATCCATGCTTTAGAATGTCGGGAACGCACCGCTGTATATGTGTGTGTCCGTGGGTGTGTCTGAGCCTGTATAAATACACCCAGAGGCGTACCCAGGGCTGTGCCATAGTCCCTGACTTTTCCCGATGGCCTTGCCGTCTGGTCCACGCCATTGGGTGGGCGTAACTCAATGGTAACTGGATTGAGCCAGTTAATACTAGATGGATCCGGACTGAACTGATGATATCCGGATATAGCTTGTTTAGTGGGACTAATTCATTGAACGTGCAACATTTAGATTTATCTTTACCAGAGTAATGGAATCGTAATTAACGTTTGAAGTGTAGATGTATCGTTTTCATTCCGTTGCCTGCGTTTGAAGTGGGTTGCATGTAAATTACATCGAAACCGATTCAAATTTTATTTCATTTTTGTGCATGCATTTTCACGTGAAAACATCGAATTCGCTTGTCGCGGCATATTTCTAGTTCAACTTAAGTCCCAAGCAATGTAGTGCCCTGCTCAGACGGTTAGCCATTTGATGCATTTGTATCACCCCTTTTTTATCGCGCTAATCACAAGAAATCGCATGAGATGCATCTATTAGGTGCTCATACAGCCATTAATTTATCAGCGATGACCTTAGCGCTGATATGCCACCGGACTTAACCCGCGCCCTGCTGGGGGGGGGGGTGTTTGAACACCCCCCCCCCTGTGGTTTTTCGCGAATATCTCAAAAACGGCGGCGCGGAGCGCCGCCGTTTTTGGTACAACTTATCATACATCAATTCTACACATGTTGTGAAAATTTCAGACCAAGGTCATTCAAGGTCAGGTCACCAGGTCACTTGAAGTGACCTCACCTCATAAAAACTTTCAATGTCTGTCATAGCTACACCGAGTGACCGATCGCTTTGAAACTTTCAGCGATTGCTAAGAGCAATGGCATGTACGAAATGTATATCTCAGAATTTTGATATCGATGACCTAAGGTCAGGTCAATTTTGCGACCTCCCCATTATAAGTCAATGGGAGAAAATTGAAATGCGCCTCTTTTGGATGAAAGACATTATAAACACTCCCAAACACCGAATTACAAGTGGTTTAGACAAACTGAACTTGAAAATGGTGTCCGTGACCCTTGTTTATGCCCTGAGGTCATCTTAGGTCACGAATGGTATCTAACAGTTTTTCGCAAATAACTTTTGATAGAGGTATGCTAGAGCGATGAAAACGCCTTAGATGTGTTCAGCTCGACGATACGGATCGACTGATATGCAACATGACCCTTTCCGGTCAGGTCATGACCTTGACCTGAGGTCAAATTTTCAAGTTGACCTTTCAAGGTCAAGTCATAGTTCATTCGATGCGTCTTGACGAGAGGAACACGATGCCGGTAAAAGTAAGCTCGTACAAGGCTTGGGTCAAAAGTTATTGCAGAAAAACTGTTTTCGAAAAAATCGGCTATTTTTGCAGTTTTTGCCCCCTGCAGGCAAAACCGTTGACGTTAGGTCAAATCTGAGAGAATTACTCAGAAAGGGCGTTAAAAGAGCTATCGAATGCGCTTTTCCGCGGCGCTGCAGCTCTATTGGTTCCCGAGTTATGCGTTGGCTTCTTGGATATTTTCGACATTCGACCTGGAAATCGGCGAAATTTTGCCTTCAATGACCTCTGGTGACCTGACCTTTGACCTGACCAAAAAATTGACCGAAGTGATTTCGTCATTATTTTTGACGCTCTTTCGAACGCCGCCTTCCGCGTATCGCTACGTGGCCCAGGAGCCGAGTTACAAGGGGGGGTGTTCAAACACCCCCCCCCCCCCAGCAGGGCGTGGAAATCCAGGACCCCCAGCAGGGCGCGGGTTAATCATTCCGGTGGTTGATCGAGTTAACACGGGTGAAAAAGAGGAAGGTGCCCAACTGAGAATGTCCTGTTTGCAGATCATGTCCGTTTTAGAACAATCAAACGCTGAGGTTTTTTTAGTTTCAAGCAGTGTTCCAAGTTATGCTGGGAGGTTTTGGCTCGCTAAAAAGCTTTTTGCAAGTGGCAGAAAAAGAACCTCAGATATAACTTGTCCGGGGGAAAACCTACAAAACAAAATACCCCGAAGCCCACCCTATGTAACTAATGACTACGTAACATTTACGATTATACACCTTGCGGTCACTCAGCAACCACCTTCTCCCCCATTGTCTTCTTCTGCAGCCCCCTGACGACTGTCCCCCCCCTCTCCGACAGGCCGATGTGCTGTGGTGGTCACCCAGGGTGGCAAGTGTCGCTCACTCTGCGCCCACCTGGCGGCGGCCAACTGTTTCACCACTGCTCATCTGGAGGATCCGGCGCACTGGGCACTGGTGCAGAAGGCCCAGTTCTACTATGTCTCGGTAGGTGGGGAAAGGAGGCTCAGTTCTACTATGCATGCCTTGTAGGGTGGGCCCTCGTGCAAAGACCCAATTCTACTATGTCTTGGTAGGTTTTTTAAAGTCCCAGTTATGCTATGTATCGGTAGGTGGGATAAAGGCTCTGTTCTACTATGTCTCGGTAGATTGGGAGAAGGCTCAGCTCTGCAGGTATAGTGCAGTCGGTTTCTTATAATGTTGCTGCGGTCGCCGTTCGATCATCTTCTCTCCACTCCCTCAGGTAGAGTCAGATTTAACAACTCAGGCAACTGGTACACATTGTCCCGATATTTGGGTGGAGGCCAACTTCTACCGGCTCGATGTCCTTACGTGTGAACGGGGACGGAGGCCTGGCTCTACGGCCCTATTTGCCAGTACCGGAGAACCGTAGTGCTTTTGCCAGACTGCTGGTAGATATGGGCCAACTCTTGCCGGTTCTTGGGGCTGGCGGAAAAGGATTATTTCACTACCCGATGTGTCCGTACGATGGCGTCTGCTGCTGCCATCTGATGGGAGTTAGGTGAACTAAAGCCTGGTGGTTGCCGTTTGTCTATTTGTCAGCGTTTTTACCTCACATCAAGGACGTATCTGCGATAAATGCGCACATGAATTTCATTCTCATCCTGTCACAAGTGACATGTGATCCAAGTAAGTGGACACCTTTCTAGCCTCATTTATAGTTATTCACCCTTTTCAGGGCGTTACCTCTGATTCCCCCTAAACGTGACCTGTGCTGACCTGTCTGTGACCATTCTCCCCCTCCCTCAGGGTTTCTTCCTGACGGTTTCGATCGACTCGATTCTGGAGGTGGGACGGTACGCCGCCGAACAGAACCGGCCGTTCATGATGAACCTCAGCGCTCCATTCCTCAGCCAGTTCTTCAAGGAGCAGCAGATGAAGGCCTTCCCCTACGTGGACATCCTGTTCGGAAACGAGTCGGTAAGTTGGCAGAGCGTCGCCGAAAGTGGTCATTATATAAAGTCATCACTCATAGTTATACTTTTCACACGTGTATCATAATGGCTTATTGGGCTGATTTTTCTCGTTACTAGATGAGGTAAATGTAAATGCTTCATTGGATCGTTCCTTGCGCGTCCAAACACCAGTTGTGAGAGTGACAACCCGAGCATACTACGGTCCGCTCATATCGGTGTATTGCATCCTAGGTCAACTCCTAAACCAGCGGGACATGTTTTATGGACTTCGTATGTTATTTACCTCCGTTTTCTTGACAAGTTGTGATAAGACCTAGTGTGAGCTACCTTTTGGATTTGACTGCAAGGTACTCTCTGCGTTCGATTTACAAGGGTTTACTGTATTCACTGTTTAGCTCGGTCATCGCAAAATATGTTCCTTTGACTGTTTTGCATCCATTTTACCTTTCTTTTGTCGACAGGAGGCGGAAACTTTCTCCACGGAGCAGACGTTTGGCACGACCGACATCAAGGAGATCGCCCTGAAGGCTGCAGCGCTGCCCAAAGTCAATACCAAGCGACCGCGCATGGTGGTCTTCACACAGGGAGAGCATGACGTCATCGTGGCAGAAGGTGGGTTGTGCGAGTTTTGCTTGTCGTTAGTGGTGAGAGCTTCTGTGACGCGTTAAACTCGAAATGTATAAGGGTTACATGTTTTTGGATAACAGGGTTTTGAACCATCTATGTATTCCACCGATACTCGCATGAATATTCTATGTTTTATAATTGCCTCTGGTGTTAAATACTGCCATAAATAGACACCCAGGGAAACCCGCTATTTTGGGTACATTAGGTGGGGTAACTTACTTGATCTATGAAGTATGATCTATCCTTATGGTACACATTCTGGAAACAGTACGATTAGGAAACTCATTTTCTTTGCCGTATGCGCTCTCTTGGGGCCAAATCCAGATCATAAATCTAAGTTTTTCCCCTTTTCTGCCGTATCGCCATATGGATATCATAAAAAGCTGACTATTGCAGAAGAGGGGTTCCAATTTTGACACATTTCCCGCTGTTTCAGACGGAAAGGTACAGACTTTCCCCGTTGGAAAGGTGGATAACGTGATCGACACCAACGGAGCTGGAGACGCCTTCGTCGGCGGTGAGTGTATTATTACACGAGGGGGAGGGGGTAAAGTTACACCGTGGTTGAAACCCCAGGTTACTTGGTGAGTGCATAGCTAAACTACGGACTACATGATCAGCACATCGTACGAAACGCACAATCACTAACGTTCAACTTACCCGTGATCATTCACAGAATACGTACTTTTACACCCGTTTGTCATGTATTTCCAAGTTTTCAGTTCAGCCGCGGGCAGTATTCATACGTGACATTTACACCCGTTTGGTGTGTATTTCCAGGTTTCCTCGCGCAGTACATCCGCGGCCGGCCTCTGGAGACGTGTATTCGCTGCGGTACCTACGCCGCGCAGGTGGTGATTCAGCGTGAGGGCTGCACCTTCCCCGAGAAACCAGAGTTCACCGAGTAACCGGTAGTTAGCTGTTACACCTGATGAGTGTGTAGTTACTAGTTACACTCTTATTGCGTGTAATATTACACTCCAGAAGGGTGTATGGATACGCCAGGATAGGTGTAGACGTGGAAATCGTACACGAACGGTTCTGCTTGCTGGAAGAGGGTGACTGTCAAACGGAGCAGCCTTGTTAGGACGTGTTCTACTGCCGTTGTGGCTGAGGGGTTTTGGGCGTCTCTTGCAGGGTCACCGATTCCTGTGCTCGCAGGAGCCGGTAGATCCATTCCGCGAGGGACGTTGGTTTTTTGTTACCGATGTATCGGAACCTGGACAGACGGCCGTTGTTTTCTGACTTCCATGGGCTGTCTGTGTGTATTTGATAACGTTTTGTTACTGTTATCACCGGGACGGCGGGTGTGAATTCAGTCGGAATCTGAAGGATGTGTGAAACACTTCACACGTCTGGGTGTATTTGTGCACGGTTTTCGCGTGTTGTGCAGTATTGTCGGCTTGGTCGTTTGAAATTGTGCCCACTTCGAAGCGTAAGGCGTACGGTTGCTATGGATTCAGGGATAAACATTGATGGATGTCACGTGCAACAGAACGAGCATTGCCATTTGGGCGTTGCATCTCTGCTGTCAGGTACCTTGCTAGATTGCAATGGTCATTTGTAATAACGAAGGGCCCACCACAGTCGCAGGCGACTTGGTCACTGTACAATCCAACGTGCATAATAGCATACAGTACTCTGTTCTTGTAGCCTCGGGGGCTCAACTCACTAACCGAGGGTTTTTAAGTAAAGGGACGTGTACCCTTTACTCGACACTTGTCTCGTATTTTGTAAATTGACAGCTCTAGAGTCATGTGTTATCTGTAAGTACATAACTTCCGTATTCGGAAACCCAATGTCAACATCAAACATTGACCGTCATCGTTTAGTTTGTTTTCAGGTTTGTCCAACCCCAGTTTGCTTTTGCGAATACTAACAAAACTAATTTATGCATTGCACTGTGTGTAACGTAACAGTTCTTATTTTTCTTATTTTTCTTCCTCTAACTCGGCAAATGAATTCGGTGATATTTGTCTCACTTCACACGCTGCCATGCTCCGTGGTCTGGCGTGCGTGTGCCAAGCCAGCGAATTAAAAGTGCCTTACACTAGTAGATTGACCGTGAAACAGACAACGATCAGTTTCGGATGCCTCCTACGTGCATGCCTACCACTTGGCATACACGTAATTTGTGTTGGCTTGCTCTATTTCCCGGTGTTATTTCGATGGATTTTCGGTGCGGTGATACCAATACTTACGCGGGTGGAACAGGGTTTTGTCGAAATGCATTCCTTTTCAGTGTGACAATATTTCCCTTACGTTCTCCCAACTCTGTTGTTTAACACTTTAAGGTGGTTTCTACGCGTGCCCATTCTGTGCAATTTATTTTCAGGTTCTTTGAAGGGACTTGTCATTTGCAGTGCCTGCAGGTGTTTTCGAGCGATTTTCTCTCATTCGTTTGGTCATGTCCGAAACCTGTTTTTACCAATACACCGTGGCGTGGATATCCGAATGGTTTTCAGTTGCTTGAAGTATGATGAGGTACCCAGAGGTCGCTTATACTTCAGTACTTCAGGCACCTGAAGCGGCAATAGCAGCGGCAACTTTAGCCGTTAGCTTCGTCCTTTCCGTGCACTGTCAGCTGCGATCATAGGTTTAGTAGGGCTAGAAACGTTTGAAAAAACTATGTGGTCTGCGTATTGTGCAATGAGAGTAACCCCCTGCAGCCGTAACAATATCTCGCCCGTAGTATGAACTGACTGTGTCCTGTAAAACCGCTACAATTGTCATGGGAAATCCATATCCATCGACCACGTTCCAACTCTGGGCGCCCTTTAGCCGTGTTTGCGATAGGGAGTTGGAGTTCGGTGACACTTGGAAAGTGGTGCATCGATCGATACCCTCGGACAATAATCGATAATCGATCATTTCGAAGTCGATGCTCTCTGCGATATGGGGCTAGTAATTCTATTGCACGCACAGCTCGAGCCAGCGTAACGCCTGGCGAACAGCAGAAACTCGTCCCCCTCGGCCGACGCTAATTAGTGCTCCGGCTGCGGTGGGCCGCCCCAGGGTACTCGCAACTGGCCACCCCGACCCCTTTCAGTAGCGTCGCTGCGTGAGGCGATTCAGCTTCCGGCCACCTGCCCCCTCTCCACACACACTCCCCCCCCCCCCCCCACACACACATGCACCAGAAGGGCAGTGGATAGCGCGTCCGCGTTTGAACAGCAGCGAGCGAGCCAGCTGCCCCGTTTGTTTGTTTGTTTGTTTGTTTTGTTGGGTTAGGCCCTTTCGGTCGACAAGACCATTGCAGAGCCGGAAGGATGATAGGAATTAGGGGGAGACATTGGTCTGGGCAGGCACCCTAGTGAGTCGCCGGGTGACCGCGGTGTGTGACCATTGAACTCAGTTGTGAATGGCGAGACGAGCGCCATCTGCGAGCTAGCTTTGTTGCCGGTCTTCCCACCACCTCACTTCTCCAATATCGAGCTATATGAAGGTGAATACTGACTCGTATCGGATGCTTGAGCTTAAGAGCAGTTTTGGGCGTTCTGTTTCGAAAAGATGCAATGGTTTCAACGAAAAGCATTAACTATATGAAAACCCTATAGAAGGTTTAGTTGGCGATTAACACATCAACAGGAGCACGAGTCCATTTAAAGCGAAGGCAATCAGAAAAAAGGCTATACAACGGCATAAGTTCATTAAGAGTTTCCTACCTAAACAGCTGTCCCCGCGTTATGCTTCACGCACACGTCCCACCAAACACGCGTATGAGAATGGTCGAACGATTTGTATTGGATGATGTAGCGAACGATGATGATCAGGTCCAGGCAATGCGTCGGCCCCGAGAGGCCGGCGCCGCATCGCGCGGGCCCCAGCGCACACACCTCGCACAAATCAGACGTACAACCACTCCCCCGCGCGCGAGCCCCTAAAAACCACACGACTGCCAATCGTCAGGGAATGGAGGCAATGCTGAATCATGGCGCTAAAACCGGTGCCAGCCGAAGCCGCGACATGTAGCGCCTATCTAAAACACGGGGCGGCCCGGTCGTGTGTGACACCGCGCTAGCATGGCGGACAGCGGTGCGCATGCGCCGTCTAAAATCGGCCGCGGCAGCCGGTGCCGGCCCAGTCCGTGGTGAATGAGTGTTTGTACATGAGATGATGACCACTCGGCGATGTCTACTTGTTGCCAGGTTGCGACGGACCGCCCTTCTTGCCAATGAGGGACTTGTGGATGTGCGGGATCACTCCGCCGCCGGCGATGGTGGCCTTGATGAGGCTGTCGAGCTCCTCGTCTCCGCGGATGGCCAGCTGAAGATGCCGCGGGGTGATACGCTTCACGCGCAGATCCTTGGACGCGTTACCGGCCAGCTCGAGCACCTGTGACGGCGGAGATGGGTTAGTTGTGGGATCCAACGACAGATGGCAGTACAGTCGCGCTAAGACAGAGGGCGTGGCTTGGTACGAGCGGGAAACGTATCACTCTATGCAAACAAGACACGTCATCGACGTACGAAGTGGGAATGCGCACGTAGAGGGCAGTTGAGTGCTTTGGACGATAACACCAACGACGAGATCAAACAAATTTATCGAAAACAGGCACGATCAGAGAGCACAACATAAATTAAAACCCAACGCAGCACCTCCCAAAAACACCCACGCGATGTCAGCGCAGCGTTGCCTTACAGCAGCCAATATTGGTTAGGGACTAGGGTTTTATTCATGTTGTGAGACTCACCTCAGCAGTGAGGTACTCCAAGATGGCGGCGCTGTAGACAGCTGCTGTGGCTCCAACCCGCCCGTGAGAGGTAGTGCGGTTCTTCAGGTGCCTATGAATACGACCCACTGGGAACTGAAGAGCGGAGGGAGCAGTGTCAGCAATGGAACAAAAACTGTGGCAGCATACGAGACTCTAACACCAGACAGGCATTGTAAATGACAGAACCAGATCCATATAATCACTAGTTAGGCTTAATGATAAAACAGGTGCTTAAAGATATATTAGGAACCTACAAGCAGACCACAATGACAATAAAATACCATCAATGTTAGTAAATGGTAAGAATACTTATGTCACATACAGCATTACTAATTGGCAGTTAGTGCCAAGCAGTGATATCTAAGAAATAAGGAAATATCCATGCCAGCACAGACATAAGGTACATTTCTCAAATTTTGACAAGCACAGAGGATATGGAGTAGCATACAATAACAAATACAATGAGAGTACATTGATTGAGCCAACAAGTTTAACATTCAACCATCAGACTATCAATGATCATTACAAAAAAATGAGTAGTTTTGTCTCTGTGCATAATCCTGCTTAGTTCAGTCTCCTATTAACCTGAGGTAAACAAGGCAAGTATCCCATCAACACCAAGGAAGTAGTTTTGCAATATATGTTTACAAAATGTCACAGAACAAAATCCAGAACATATCAGTTAGCACAATGTTTAAATTGAACTCCGTACAAAATAACATTTTACTGACATGTTTCAAGTTGAGCAAATATACCACATCAGAACTGCTCACTTTCATTTTTGCCTATCAACAATGTGCTGCCTCAGCATGGGGTACAAACAAGAGCTTCATTAATATTACCTATAACTAAAATTTGAGAATGAGAAGCTCTTTTGAAGAAATTTTGTGCATGAAAAATTGAATTAGCAGCACAGCCCAATGCCCATGACCCATGCTGATAGGCCACCAACAGTTCACAGAAAATGATAACTACAATTCCGTTGTCCGATAAGATTGGTCAACAACAGTAAATAAATTAAACAATATTTTCTGAGGAGTAAATCTAAAAGCTAGTTAGAAGTATCTTTTTCATTTAAAAACACATTTCTTTTAACAAAGTATCTACAACCAAAAACATAAATATTGCATCACTGCGCCATATACGTCTACATGGTGAAAACGTCAGAAAACGTTGACGTCCCAATTGCGCAACAAAAAGCAAAAATTGAGCACAGTTGCACGAATGGAAGAGAGGGTATTTTACATATACGTACCTGAAGTCCTGCCCTCGCTGACCGCGAAACTGCACGGGCCTTAGCCTTTCCACTGTCCTTGCCGGCCTTCCCTCCCGCCTGTGAATCGAGGAAACAAGGGGCTCAGCACAACCGCCAGGTGAAACAAGCCACGTTTTACTTAATTAATGCTCAATTAAACAAAACTCATGCATTTTATCGTACTAACCATTTTAAATGTGTGATTGCTGGGTTCAAACTGTACAAAACACCAAAACGCGAGAACGCCGGTCGACGACCACCAACGGACTGCAACAACAGAATTTAAATGATGACGTATTTCAGATTTCCGCCAATCATAGAGTAGCAGAGTCAAATTTTGGCGGGAGTTGATTTTATATGAAGTCAAATAAGAAGAAAATGGCCAGCTGGGCTGTTAAATGTTTCTTTTATATCAAATTTTGATATTTTTCTTTATTTCTGAAGCCAAAATTTCCCAGTAAAATGAACTGCTTTTGAAGAGGCAAAACACTTCTGTGTTTGATTCTGCCCTCATCTCTTCAATAACCCGGTTTACATAGCATATTTGACGAGGCTCTAGCTCGTTAATTTGGCGATAACTTCGTTGCAGTGTTCTTCAAATATTTAGAGGGGATCATTTTGTAAATTGTTAAGCACCATTGGCATCTTTTGCAACATCACGGACGGAGATATAAGCTTGCAACAAACCCTATGTAAACCGGGTTAATGTCTCAGTCGGAAGTTTTTCAAAATTAATTTTCTAAAAATAAGCCACTCAAAAAAATTATCTTGCCCTTAAATTGCTGAAATATTATTTATTTGAAACTTGATATTCCACAAATGAAACCTGCGCCATAAATGTAAAAATTTCCACGAGTGTTTACTTCACACGCATTTGTGTAGAGTGCGCTGTGTGAATTTGGTTAATTTCTGTCAAATTAAAATTGGCAGGTGAAGATAACTCGAAACCATGGCTGCATCAAAAGGGTCGAATACTTACAATCGACAAAATTGGGAAGACTCCGTGAGTATGCCGCCTATCCCGTCACACCACCCTGCAAAATCAAAGTGGAAGTAAAGTAGCAACTGATACCATTCCCCGCATCAAACTAAAACAAGGCCTAGAAATAGATCCCATAGATGATTTTTCGTTCTTAAGTAAAATACAGTTAAAAGAAGGTGTTGTTGACTGTGCAGCTCTCACTGGTTCTCCTATAGGTCAAGGTAGAAAACAAATAGCCTGAGCATTGTCAGTAACATTACTGCTGTTCCGCACTGACCCGCAGCCCACAGCTTGACACACTGTGTTGCGGAAAATATGTGATAGCTATAAAAATAGCATTGCCACTTCAATACTTCTCTGTGTATGGTGCATAAAATGTTATATAAAATGAGTAAGTACCTAACAAGAGATAAAGGCTGGGTGTAATAACAAATTTGATCCTGCACCCTACCCCCATCAACTCAAGCAAAGCAGCACCCACCTCCACATACCACATCTGACCAAAGTTGCATTTGCTGAGTGACTTCACATGGCAGTGCTTCTTGTCACAATTGTGATGTATCAGTAGGCGGAACTATGGTCAAGCGTACCCATTTTCGGGAACGCATTTTCGTTCCCATGTTTGGGAACGATAAACCCAAATATGGGAACGCCATGTAGGCATTATTTAAAACAAGAAAAAGAACCGTTAAATGACGTCTAAAAAATATAAAACGATCGTGAACCGCCTGATATTTGTCTCAATATTGTTGGGAAAGAGTTTGATATTGTAAGGCCCATCGTAGTTTCAAATCGTTCCCCTATTTCTAAAGCAGTCCATCATCCGGGCCGCGAGCCCAAATTTGGGAAGGCTCTCGTACACTGGCGCTGCAAGCGTTCCTTATTATGGGAACGGCGTACCCAAAATTGGGAACGATTTCACCGACGCCTTTCAGGGGCTCTTTTCATTAACAAGCATCACGTCCAACGCCGCAAATTATTGTTAACGCAACAATCATCAGATGACCTTTCCGGCAAGACCGTCGCATGTTTCGCCCGGTCTTCTGCGCTTTTATTCCCGTCGATCTCGCAGCGGGCACGCCCCCCTCTGCAGGATTACGTAATTCACAACGCTCAGCGATGTTCAACAAGGTCTTCCATACCTATATCCACCGTCCGCGCCGAGGGTGGAGACATGTCAAGCACCTGTCTGTTTATCACCGATAGTTGACGAGCACAAGGAAGTATCCAAAAATGGGAACGCTGAATATGTTACACCCTCAAAACACCTAGTCCCAATGAAAATCTAGTTTTTTCCTTTCTTGATGAGTGTAAGTGGCAAAAGGCCTGGTAGGATGGGCACGAGGAATGATCGAAATCAGCATAAAAATTATAAATAAGCCACACAGAGCGACCTATATAAGAGAAATTCCCCCAAAACTATCACGCTTAGAAACACGGAAGACAAAAACCACGCTCATGACGCTCCTTATAAAACAACTCTAAACAGCTAGCATCCAAATAAAATATGTCTTTCTGGGACGATGAAATACAGCTGAATAATTTTAAACCACTGAAACTGAGTTTACAACAGTAGTTCGGTAAAATCACTGACGTTCCATGCGGTCGTGCGCCCCGACACCAAATGTCACCAATATTACCCCCGGACTGTCCGCGTGTTCGCTTGCATATGTCAGCATCTGGTGTCGCTAGTATGAAACTTCATAACCAGGCGAAAATTATTATACTTGACCTCAAAATGTAAAAAACGCTTCATTTTCCTTAAAATTGCAAGTTACATGTAGTATAACCCATGTTTTCACCATTCCGTCATTTCAAAAAATCATTAAAAATATCATTCGACGGTCAATTTCCTTGTGCAACGGTCAGATTAAAGATAATTTTATAGAGACTTAGTAGATACTTAAATTAGCGTGCACTTTTTTGAGACGTGATGCACTAATGAGTTTTAGTGGGCGAACGGCCGAAAAATTACCTTCCGTTCCCATAAATGGGAACGCCCGTTCCCATATTTGGGAACTCCGTTCCCAAAAATGGGAACGTTCCTATATTTGGGTACTCATGACCATAGTTCCACCTACTGATATGTCCTTTACATTACAGTGCTCAATTGTTGAATGCCTTTTCCTTTTCTATTGAGACCCATCTGAGTTGGGTGATTATTTTCCATGGTGCTAATGAAGCTTGAATTGCCCCTTTTACTTAAATTTCTTAAATAGATAAGGAATATAATTTTTAATGGGTCAGCCATCAGAATGGTATGGACTATGGACAAAGTCTACTATTGTGTGTAGCCCATGCCCCATCTCCCTGTGATTCCTAACCTATAAATACTAAATGTGGTCTGTTTTCTTTCACAGGAGTTTCCTGTACTCTGCCAGACATGTCTTGGAGACAATCCCTACATCAGGATGGTGAGTTAGTCTCCCTGGTTTTGTGTAAGATATTAGCACAGTCTTAAGCACCCTGATGTGTTCTCTTTATTAGTTGAATCTATTGCTGATTTTTTGTTTCAGATGTGTGGTATTGTCAGGTCATTGCAACTTTGAATGTCTGTGCTCAATGACATATTTTATGTGACTGTTGAATCTCTGATAGATTTAATTAAGTACATGTGTGAAGTGGAGATCTTGATGTTTGAACCAAGTGCAGATCGTTTTGTTTGAACAATGACTGACAATTCCTATCCCCCATGCTCAGACCAAGGAAAAGTATGGCAAGGAGTGCAAGATCTGTACCAGGCCCTTCACAGTGTTCAGGTGGTGCCCGGGAGCCAGGATGCGCTTCAAGAAAACAGAGGTTAGTTGTGAGCAGCAGCAGTTTGTGGCTGTGGCTCATTTTGGAATAGAGAGAGGCTGGGTATGCACTGTAACTGCTTGGGGATTCCAGGGGACAGATCCCAGGGGACATCTAACAATAGTTAGGTACTGTCTTTGTTGACAGTAGGTTATAAGTGGTGGAAATGAAGGAGGGTGTTAGATTTTTCGCCATATTAAAGGTGTGCTATGTCCTTAAACACCCCAGAGTACCTTGCCTTCTGCTTAGGATGCTTACTTTCCTGCCACCCAGTTGAAAGCAATTAAGTGACACAGTTGACATCTGACACCACAATTCCATGTGTTTCAGGTGTGTCAGACCTGTGCCAAGCTGAAGAACATCTGTCAGACGTGTCTGCTGGACCTTGAGTACGGTCTGCCGATTCAGGTGAGTCTGAACTAACAGTCTGACCGGTGCGGTGTGGAATGAGCCTTTGGAGGGTGGCATCCCGTCACTGACACATACCTGTGACCGTAAATAGCCCTCGTTGTCCGGGTGTCGGCGGAAGCAACCTTTATCGTGTTACCTTCGTCGTTTTTTTCGTTTTCTGCGCTTTGAACGCACTTTAGCAGGATGTTCATTGTTAACCTAGTCCGGGCACATTTGTGATCTCTATAGCTGTGCTTAGCCAGCCGTGCGTCCGAAACCTGGGCCAGTTGTGGCCTGTGTGTCGCTTGTGAAAAAACGTGCATTCCCTCCTTGACACGAACGAACAGAACTTTAGCCAATGTATCAACACCGATACAGACTCAATCCATGACAACCCATGACCTTCCTTGGACCTGTGACATGCCTGTGACCTGACTTGTGACCTTTGACCTCAGGTGCGTGATGCGGCCCTGAAGATGAAGGAGGACATCCCCAAGTCTGACGTCAACAAGGAGTACTACATCCAGAACAAGGAGGCAGAGGTAGGTGTCTTTATTTGGTTAGCTGCTGTTAAGTTAAACACTGCAGACATCTGGCTGTGTTTGAATGAAGTGTGCTCATTTTTCAGCTGGGGAATATGGTGCAATTCTTTCTATCTTTTCCATAAGCTCTACAGTGTCGTCTGCACCTCACTTGCCTCTCAACCTCTCCTCCTCAGCTGCAGGGCGCCAACCCCGCCGGCGCGCTCAAATCCGCAGCTCCGAGCGACCTGCTACTCAAACTCGCCCGCACCACGCCCTACTACAAACGCAACCGGCCGCACATCTGCAGTTTCTGGGTGAAGGGCGAGTGCCGCCGCGGCGAGGAGTGTCCCTACCGGCACGAGAAGCCGACCGATCCGGATGATCCGCTGGCAGATCAGAACATCAAGGACAGGTGGGTGCCGTGAGGGGAGGGGGACCGGGGGGGGGGGGTTGTTTTCAGAACACATTGCCGTGGAGGTAGACAAGGCATTGATAAGGTGACAGATTCTTCGGGGAATGTGAATTTCGATGAAAAACTGAAGGCCAATGCTTGTGGTTAGCATTTATCACTTACCAACTAGGTAAGTAATGCATTTTAGCTGTTGTTTTAAGCTCCTTTTATGATTTCTCTGTCGAAGTTTCGTCAGTTTATTTCGCTCTTTCGGGAAACTTAGCTGAACCATTAAGTGATTTATTTATTTTCCAGACAACCAAATTTCAATTCATAACTCAAACTATGTTAACTGACGCCTAAATTGTGTGTATTCCCACTCGTTTGGAACACGTTCATCTCTAACACCTGTCGCTTCTCCCCGTCAGGTACTACGGCGTGAACGATCCAGTGGCAGAGAAACTTCTGAGACGGGCGGCCGCCATGCCACGACTGGATACTCCAGAGGACAGGAGCATCACTACGCTCTATGTTGGTACGTGCGGAGGCGTATTTGGAATCTCATCTTCGTCTAGCTTCAAACTAGCATTTTTTATTTTTTTTATAAATTTAGTCCGAATGGCTGAATGGGCGGATTTGAGGAGTCAGAGCCGCACTAAGCATAGCTTGTTTTGCTGACCCTGACCCCACCACCCGATCGCGCAATTCCAGTTGTATGGCAGAATTTTGTCCGAACGTTTAACGTGCCCTCACGACTGGACACGGTCCCCTCCGCTCACTCACGTTACCTGGCTTCTGTGCGGCCCCTGCCACAGACACGCACGCCATTACACGTATGAGCTAAATGTGGCCGCCCGCACCGGGGCTTGAACAAGGCTCTCACTTACGGCTAAGCGTCGAATTCCGGCGCTTTTATCCACTCGGCCACGGAGAGGACTATAGTATAGATAACATGAATCATGTATCTACAAAATAGTAAATATAAAAGCACCTCAGATAAACCCCATAGGCTGGATACTAAATGACCGTGATTGCTCAAATGTCTAATCCGTCTTTATCCTGACTCTCGTCCTTGTGGCGCTTCTCGTCACTGATCGATCGCTCTGTCGTCGTGTCGACCTGAGGAATTGACATTTCCAACCACCACGACCTTGCTTAGTCCTTGTTTTCTTTACGTTATTTTCCCTTGTCTTTAAGTCTTCTCGTGATTTAATTTGCCTATTCAGGTCGCACTTTCGACTCTCCTACATGCGTGTTCCATCAACGTCGACTATTCACGTCAACGATGTCTATATTCTTACAGGTCAAATCAATCCTTGATCATATGCATTTAGCGTTCTTAGCAACGATTTTGTACCTTTTTTTTTGCTGTAATGCGTAACATGCGGACACGAACCTTCGTTTTAATGTCACCACCAAACTATAAGAAACGCTCAGCGTCAACTATGCGGCCCATCAGGGCTAATGGGCCACACACTTGGTTCGTGCATCGTTTTTTCATGACCAGTGCATTTCCGTTTTTGTATATCTAACATGCTCTCCCATATGTCCACAGGTAACCTAGGCGACGGCAACTTCATCACCGAACAGGAGCTGAAGGACCACTTCTATCAGTACGGAGAGATCCGAAATATCACTGTGGTGCACAAAAATCAGTGTGCCTTCGTACAGTATGTTTCCAGGTATGTAAGCGTTGGGAGCTGTCCCACTCGAATTGGTCGTTTATTGGAAGGCATTCATTCAGAATCAGCATGGCTGTCATATTCGTATAGGTGCAATTTTTCGAACAGAAGCGGTCTCACTAAATTCCCTTTAATTGAAGTGAAATTGAGACTGAGTGAAATTTAGACTACCATGAAATATAAGTCTTTCAATTTAATGTAGGTGTGTCAAGCTAAGTTCGGGATATGATGTGATATAAATCCTACTTTATCTTAGTTGTATCTGTATATTGGGCTGAAATCTTGAAAGTATGCGTCTGACAATTTGCACTGGAAGAAGAGCAGACGTCTATTTAACTGTAACCATCATTCCACTGAAGTCACTATGCATGTCCATTGCCCATGTCTTGCCCTCGTTTTAGGGCATTGGTCCTACCGGTCTTATCGACTCTTATAGTGTAAGTTACACCCGTTACCGCTCCCCCACACCTTCGCGTGCCTCACTAACCACCGTTCCTCCCTGTACGCAGATCGTCCGCCGAGGCAGCCGCGGAGGCCACCTTCAACAAGCTCATCATCCGTGGGAGGCGGCTCAACATTAAGTGGGGCCGCAGTCAGGGCCGCCAGGGACCAGAGGAGACGTACACAGGCGGAGCAGGGCCATCGGGCATGCCGCTAGAACCCGTGCCAGGTGAGACTGGTGGGAAAAGAGTGTGTATGGGGGACGCTTTTTTGGGTTGGGATGCAAAGGACGGTATACAGGCTCAAATGAGAGATGAACGTGAAATGCTCGCAAGTCGCACCTGTGGACGGGTGTGGTTTTGTGTTTCCTAGACGGTGTGGGTTGTCGCCTTTCGGGGTGATGTTTTTGTTGCTGAATCGATTTAATTTTGTGGCGTAGACCACTCATTTTGAATCGATGCTTGGAGGCAAGCGTGGTCGCCAGGTATGCCAGCCACTCTCGAGCTCTTCTTTAACGCCCCAAAGCCCCCCTTACCTACGCCAACTCACCCCTAGTTCCACCTTACTTTAACACTCCCCTCCTCAGTTGCAAACTGCAACATGAGACGCCTTCTTCATTTTCACAATATATTGAAGTAAAAACGAACATTCATGCTTGTGCAATGAAAATATTTTTAATGTGTGACCTTCAATCGATGGCAAAGGTCATTGTATAAAAAAAACGGTCGCGAGACAATAATCGAGACATTTGAAAATTTAAAGATCTGCCAGGAAGGAGAAACTAATAAGACATCCATTGCTCTTTGCATAAAATAAGACGCTGACATCTGCAGAAATAATATCGAGCGAATTGAAACGAATGAATGAATGTGAGAATAAATAAATGAATGAATCATGGACTGATGAACGAATCAGTGAATGAATCGACAACACCTCCTTTCTCTCTCGTCCGCAGGTCTGCCCGGCCCCATCTAACCCCTTTCTTCCTCTCTCGCCCGCAGGTCTGCCGGGCCCGCTGCCGCCGCCGCCGCACGGCCCACCGCCGGGGCCGCCGCCGTTCCTGATGCCGCCGAGGCCGCCTCCGGGTCTGGCGCCGCCGCCGCCCCCGCCGGCCTTCCTGGCGGCAGTACACTATCCGTCTCAGGACCCGAGCAGGATGGGCGCTCTGGCCGGGCCCAGTCAGCCGCCGAGGAGGTAGGGAGGGCTAGAGCCTGCCGCAGCCGCCGTCTCCCTCGACCCCAGGCCCCCGCGTCTCTGCGTCGTCTCCACACCGTGTCTGCGCCGCCACCGCCGCTGGCTAGGACTGTTGTCATCTTATGTCGGTCGGTTGTTGTGCGCTTGGATTAGGTCTGATTGGTTTCAAGAGGTGCTGTTGGCGGCTGGTTTGCCCAAATTTGTTCCAGTTTTCTGAATAGACGAAGGATGCTATCGACAGGAAGCGAACCTATGTCGATGGCTTTGACTTGAGATGCTAGACTGGCGTAGCTGTCAAACCGGTAACAAAACGTACGTTGTCGAAAGAGTTTTATGCTGTGGGTACTTTGCCGTAAAATACGTGATTGTCGTACACATTTAACATTAGTAACAATGAATCCCTTTTGATTATCTGTTTCACACATTCTATGTAATGAATTAAGAACCGGTTCCTGATGGGGATTTTGTTGATGATGCGCGTCCGATCGATTGCCCAGCCTTTCATTCTTGAGTCTTCTTCGATGAGCCTCTTCCCCTGAAGTCGGGACAGTCACTGCAAGGAAAGGCGGGATGCTGGAAGCCTATTTTGAGGCAGGACAGACGGTGGTTGATTCAGCTACAGAGTTGGTGGCTCAAACTGCGAAAGGGAGACGAGCAAGAGACAGAGCGCGGGGTTCGTGAGGGTGAGGAGAGAGAGAATAGGAGTTGTGACCTTTCTACAGAGAAAGAATAAGGACGTCTGGACTGGACCCACCTCCCAGCTGACGTGAGGAACAACGCTATCCTGTTATCTGATCAGGCTGACGGGGCTCTATATGACAGAGGGCTCCCCTGTATAAGCGTCTGGTCTTTTTAGCCACAACAATGGAACCAGACACCCAGCACTAGGGTAGTTTTCTACCTGATTTGTCTGGGATCGCCCGAGATCCGACCTTCCTTTGATGAAGGCTGAATAACAAAAGGGAGCGAGGCACCCTACTTGACGTGTAAGCGAGTGGACGCTCCGATCACATCCTGTCTAAATGGTGGGCATGTTTGTACTGTTGTACATTCGTAGATGATCGGTTGCTCGCCTGGTCTGTGGGCCTAAGATGCGTGTGTTTGTGTGTGTGGTTTTGTGTGAGACGCTACATGTCAGCGCGAGTGTTGGTCGTACGTCACCGTTTCTTTCTGTTTTCTGTGCGTAATGGTTTGATGTAAACTGCGTGTATATCGCTGAAGAGAGATCTAGAGCCATATTCACGTGGGCCTCTAGACTGTAAAAATGATGAATCATCTTGTGCTCTTCATGGAAACCAATAAACACCACACATACGGATTTTGGTTTTTACAAAAAGCAGACACGAGAAAATAAAGTAATCATCGTGTGTTCGAGTCCTAAACAATTGTAGCATCAACGTCCGGTTATATTTGTTACGACATCCGATCACAATAAGTGGCCAATTCAGCCTGAAAACACATAAGTAAAAGTATGGTACAAATGTAAAACAGTACTGGGAAGACGGTATGTATACAATATACACTTACACATAACACTCGCGACGCAATAAAAACACTGCAGGTATAAACATGAGTCCCAGAAGGTGGACAAATCGCTCATCAAAACTGGCTGTGACGTATCGGAACATGTCTGAACGCTTTTCTCACGCGGCCCTGTCATTTGTAAATACAGACTAGTCAATATCTAATACTCGCATCACACTGGGGTATATTGGTACATGTGATGAAACGGGGATAAACATACTGGGGCAGGTAAAGCAAGTGAAGTGCTGCAAAGTTGTGCACGCGTCTCTCTCTCTCTCTCTCTCTCTCTCTCTCTCTCTCTCTCTCTCTCTCTCTCTCTCTCTCTCTCTCTCTCTCTCGTGTCCTCTCACTGGGGATAAAAGGCAGTAGGCACACACTTTGGCGTAGCTCGGCAGCGCTGGTATACGTCCATCTCGCGGTTTACACTACCACAAGTATCGTTCCATGACAATGGCTTGGCGTGGCAACAGCGCACGCCTTTTGCTGAATGTCTCTGATCACTCATAAGTGACGCTTTCGCCCGAAGTTCCTCGCTGCCACTGGTAGTGTTTGTATCACGCGCGAGGTTTCTCAGAGCGTGCCATTCTCACACAGCGCCGCCGGTTGCAGCGCCTGCACAGCCAAGCTCTAGTTTCATTCCGTCCCGACAGATGTCACTACCGGCGGTTTAGCTCCGCGGGCGCCTCTGCCGGGCCGCGCAGCCGATTTCTGTGGCTAGTTTCGCTGTCTACCGCCGCGCGGCGCTCCGGTCGCTGGCGTTGTGCCAACAGTTCCCAGCGGAGAGGGCCGGCTGCCGGGCGCGGGGAGGGCAGTTTGGGGCCAGCTGTGGGCCGTCGGGGCCGGGGTCGAACGGTCACGTGACGCCGAATTGCCGGAGGCGGTGGCCGTGCTTGTGATCGTCGTTCTTCCGTCCCCTTCTCCTGAGATTCGGATCGTTCTTCATCACCCGACGGTGGAGAGTCGGACTTGAGCTTCTCCGGACTGCCAACAGATGTCACTGGCTTCTCTTCACCCTTCTCCCTCTCTACCACCTCCACTACCACCACTTCCTCCTCTCCATCCGCCTCCTCCACTTCTATCACCTCCTCTCTTACCACCTCCTTCTCTTCCTCTTCCTCTTCCTTCTCCTTCTGACCGTACCTCCCCGTCGTCGGTCTCTCAGGCAGCCACCCCTCGGGGACCGACTCGGAAAACTCCGCCACCTCAGGAAGAGGAGTGGTGGGCTCCGGTGGTCTCTGGAACAGGGTATACCCGGGCGGAAGACACTTGCAGTCGCAGTGAGATGGGAACAGGAACTCGTCCATGTAGATAACGTCGCATCCGTTGATGTCACGATCATAGACGGGCATGTTGCGGATGGTGAACTTTTGAGTGCATCGGCATCCCTCGGCGCAGCGTCCTTGCGATTTGTCCTCCCTGTGAATAGACAGACAGAGGGGTATGTTAGAGTTGGGGATAAATGAACGCAGGGGCTCAGCTAGCTGGTCGCATATGTGACCGGAGTGTTTCCAGTTATGGCAAGATGTAGACGTGAAATGAGGTGTCAATGCTCAGAGCTATCGGTCAGTGGGAGGGATCCATGTCTGGTGTGAAAGCACCTTCACTTATTCCGAAAACCTAACTTTTCCAACGAGAATGATGCTAAGGACACCTAAATTGAGCACACAGATTCTACGGTTACCAATGGCTCCCCATCGGTTTCATATTGACTTCAGCCTGAACACACGACCTGTTCCAGCTATCGAGATGACTTAGAGATACAACTTGTTTCAGCGCTTGGGGTGCCTAGACACACGACTTTTCAGCCATCGAAGAAACCTTGCCATTGACTTACTTGCAGTGTTCCATGTGGATGTAGGTCTCGTAGTTGGGCATGTTGATGAGCGTCTTCCACTCGCTGTGCGTGTTCATGGCGTAGAACGGGGACCGCAGCTCCTCCCAGTAGTCGCAGGCAGACCTGAGGGGAAGTCGGGGATGTCACATTCGCTGCCAGCACTCCAGACGTAAACACGTTGGATCCGGGGAACTTGAGTTGTTCCAGGGCAAGGTGTCCAAGTGTCCAGTACCTGGGGTGTTTTCAGCACAGTTGAGCGTACTCTGGCTCGCTGCGTTTGGTATTACATGTGACAATGAGGGCAAACAGGAGAATGTACCACGAGAGGGCCTACTGTCTGGCCCACTGGAAGGTGTATTGCGTTTGCGACTCCGCACGGGGCAACTACAGTCGCTTTTCCGATTCGAAAGTTTGTTAGATAATAGTGGCTCAAAAAGAAGATACCTGCCAGGCATACCAAATATGAACAGAAAGCCCACATTGGGAATACCAGGCTCATGCTATGCCATACTCACTGTGTGTAAGGGTCCGGAGTGGGCTCGACTGTAGACGGCGGCGGCGGCGCTGGTGCTCGAGTGGCCGGCGGCGCAACCTCAGCTTCCTCAGGTTGCCGCTGGGTGCCGCTAGCGTACACCAGCTCAGTGAAGTCGTCCAGCTCCGGGCCGAAGGTGGTTGGACGCGGTGGCGTTGTCTTGGCAACGGTGACGCGCTGACGCACTGTAACCGAAGGTGGGTTGAAGTGGACAATCTTTGGCGGACTGGCAATGAGAGGAAGAGCTTCTGGCATCGCTGCCACGGGATCTTCGTCTGATGCCGAGGTCAAGAGGTCATCCTCAGGGACGTCTGCTGGGGGGTTTTGATTCGGGGCAGCCTGTTTCAGCTCAACGTCGCTTTCTGATCGTTTAGCAGGCTCCAGGCGGATTACTTTGCTAGGTTTCGTGCTTTTGGGGTGAGCGATTGTTTGCTCGCGGAAATCGTCTGAGTCAGTGGCTGGGGCTTGCTCGACTGGACTGAGAGTCACAGTCGTCGGAGTCGTGGTCTGAGTCGGAGTTGAAGTCGGAGTCCGAGTCGGAGTCAGTTTGTCGGACGCCTGGGTCGGGGGAGCGAGTATCTCCTCACGTCCACTGGGGGTCACAAACGTCTTGCGGAACTTCAGCATGTCTTTGATGGCGTCTTTTGTCATATCGTCCACAGGCTCATCTCGCAGAAAGTACGACACTAAGAAGTCCAGGTCGTCATTGGGCGCCTTAGCATCCTCATTAGAGGTCGTCTCGTCCCCACTGCCCTCTAGTAAGTCCTCAGAGAACGTCAAGTTTGCACTGTCACCGATAGATGTCGGGTCAGTCTCTGTGTCGTCGTGGGTCCCGGAGCCTTCCCAAGTCATCGCATTGTTCAAATTACCTGGCGGCGGATCGATATGCTTCTTTGCTCTGATCTTGTCGCTGGAATCGGTAGCGAAGGTGATCTCTTGGGCGTCACTATCCTTGACCACCTGATCAGCCGAGCGGGCGTTTCGTCTGCGGACTGCGTTGGCAGCCACTATTCTGCTGGCTTTTAGCGTGTTCTCGACGCGTTTCTTGACGACGTCGCTGGACTGGCGTAGGTAGTTGTCGATCGCCTCCCTGTGAAAGTAAAAACATAAAATGAGGAATAGGCTGGTCGTGCAACTGCTACCATACAATAAAGTAGGTATTCCCCCGCAACTATCCTAACCCTCGCCCGTATAGGGGGGGGGGGGTCGAACGGACCCCCCCCCCATGGTTTTTCGCAAATAACTCGCGTAAAAAGCGGCCGATCGCGACGAAACTTTCAGTACCCTCGCGTTCATCAATTTTACACCTACCCTGAAAATTTCATGACCCTGACCCAAATGACCTTTGACCTGTGACCTACTTTTCGAGACCATGTTTGGCGGGAATCGCGATTCGGCGTATGTCGGCTCGCATTAGCCGCGCGTTTGCAGTCTTTTCGTGGTTTCAAGCGTTCAAACATGTGATATGATGCTGCCCCCATGCATTATGGTGGGTGTCAAGGTCACCTGAAGGTCAGGTCAGGTCATTGACCTTTGATGACCTCGGTTCACTTTTTCGAGTTTTACATGTTTCTAGACCAGTTTTTGGAGCTGAATTCGAATTTAGCAACCATATGAACATTTACGAAGTAGTTTTGGTGCCTTCGTAACATGTTACGAAGCTGTCAGAGGCGGTTACCACCTACTACGAATACCCTTACTGGTTGACCTGACCTGACCTGACCCGACCTGGCCTAAATGCATGAAGACATCATCTGTGATCAAAACTAACATGATATTCGTGATCAGCACCCCGAAAAACCCCATGGCAGCCACACTTAACGACGTTCTAACAGGTCCCGATTTTCCCGACTTTTGGGTCATTGACCTGACCTGCAAGGTCAACCAATGACCTAGGACCTTAAAATTGGGTATCATCGGCTTCCTCTCGTCACGGGCAACATGCTCGTTTTTTCCGCGAAGCTCTAGCTCGATCAGGGGCGAAACGGCAAGGGGGGGTCCAACGGACCCCCCCCCCCCTTATACGTTCGCGGCTGGAAAAACACCAATACGGGCGAGGGTTAACTCTTTCCGCGAAGCTCTAGCTCGATCAGGGGCGAAACGGCAAGGGGGGGTCCAACGGACCCCCCCCCCCCCTTATACGTTCGCGGCTGGAAAAACACCAATACGGGCGAGGGTTAACTCCCTGTGAAAGTAAAAACATAAAATGAGGAATAGGCTGGTCGTGCAACTGCTACCATACAATAAAGTAGGTATTCCCCCGCAACTATCCTAAAGAAAGATCCGCTGATGGTAACTCATTTCTTTTGTTAGTAGTTTTACTATTATATAAGGTGAGCATCCCCCAATTCATACTTCATGCCCCCTTGTTTTAGGTACCTAGCTACCAGTGTAATTGTCATTTCTCCATCTTCCCGACCCTTCTCCCATTTCACCAAGATGGGGTGCTCCCTTCTTATGAGGAGTGAGTAGTTACTGCCTGATAGCAGTAACTCCTTCCCAGTGACAGCCGTCATTTGGCTTCGGTCCATCTTACTAGGGGCAGTATTTATTACCCCCATCTTACCGGGGGTAGTAATTATTACCCCCATCTTACCAGGGTTAGTAGTTATTACCCCCATCTTACCAGGGGTAGTCGTCTCCCGGCTCGTCGCAGAGCACGGCACCGCGGCTCGGTGCCGACTTCTCGCAGACTGACGGCGGGTGGACCGGTCGAGGCTTCCCCCAGAGTCGCCGACCCCTCCGGTTCACTGGGCCACACTGTAGGCTGGGGAACGGGCTGCCGCTGCCGCCGCCGCCGCCGCTACTGCTGTTGTTGTTGTTGTTGTTGCCAGTGCTGGCGACGCCTACCGCCTGTTGGAAGAGGGGGGGGGGGGGGTTAGACATGTGGTATGAGAGCGGGGGTATTTAGCGGGTATGTGGCTCATAAATTTATGCGACCCGTGTAGTCATGTGGACTGAAAGGAGGTATAGTTGGAGCGTAGGCTGTTTAAGTGCCAACAATGCCTACTTTATTATCGATCCCATTTCCAGCCAATCTTTGTTTGTCAATCGCCATAAGGCCGATGCATGTCTCTCGAGCCTGATACCTTCCCCCGTAAGGGGTGCTCTGCTAAGAGGCACGTCACATGCGCTAAGTTTCTCCGAGCCGTCGACACACCATAAACTGTGTCACGGAACGCCCGTGAGAGCTCAGCCACAATCACGAAACACCGTCGTCGCATTTCGCTGGTGGCAATGGATCGTAAACGATGAGAGCTTCACGAGCCTCAGAAGCATCGAAGCTCGTCACGAAAGCGCTTTGTGAACGAGAAACGCTGTCTGGTGCGAGACAGGCAACGGCCGAACGATGGCCTGGAGCCGAGAATAAAAGTGAAATCGCCAGCCAGCTGTGCACCTGCGCGACACCAGGGCGTTGCCATGGTTACTGTCGCGAGCTGCATCTGCTTGACTCGACGAGGTCTTGTTTGTGGAGTGGTGGATGTTTTTGGGCATCCGCTGCTTACATTTACATTGTAAGCGCGGTGTAATTTTGCAGCTGCCCGCTGGCTTCTGTAGGGCAGGGCCTTCGGGCCCGCCTTAGGTTATTCTAGCTCGTGTAACTACCAAACATGCAAGCGATGGGTCAAAACCTTGAAGGCTGGAGCTATAAAACTATTAAATCCCTTCTCTAGAACTTGATTCTAAAAAAGACTCACGGTTTCATCTTTTAACGCCCAGATAATAAAGCGTTTAATACTCTTTGTTCTCCCAAAGACACTGCAGGTTACATGCATTACATTACATTACATACGTGATCCAGTCGCAGCATCGAGTGACCTCACGTGACATGTGGGCAACGCCACGCTTGCCAGCAGAGAAAGTGACAGTGACCGAACTGGGAGGGGAGGGGAGGGGGTTCCCGCGGGGTCCGGGCACCCGGATCTTTGGGGCACCCGACCCGGGCCTACCGCCCAGCCCAGCGATAGCGCAATCCCGGAGATCCTCACTCACAAGTGAATGTAAAGGTTCGTTCGGAAGCGCGTTTGTAAAGCGGCATCCGGGTGCGCGAGTGTGTCTGGTTTTTGGCGCAAGTTGAGCAAGAATGCTTGCCATGAGTGCTTGGTTGATACTGGTTCTTCTTCTAGTGAAGGGTAGCCACCAGACTGCACATTACGTAATTGGCAGAGAAAACGCTTGTACGATGTGATGGTGCCACTTTCGGATCGAGACGGGTCTTATGTATGTCCTAACCATCGTGAAATCACGAGTTACATTAGCCTACACACTCCAAGGACTGGGTCAAATCATAGTGGAACGTGCTAGCTTGGTGCACGAAATTGTAGTAGAAACGATTTCTGCCAGAAAACGTGATGCCACTACCAGCGCAAGAGTAAGTCACTCTGGTCTAAAGAGTGCTACATCTGAGCACGAACTGCACGATCGTGCAGCGAGCTGTCCCCGAATTCGTTGCTCTTTCGGCACGCAATGCTCGTTCTCTAAGACCGATTTCTAGTGTCGAAGGTGTTAGCTTGAAATTTGTCACGCTCTCGACTAGATTTATTCCCGCATGAGCAGGCGATCGCCGATCGCTTTCCCATCGACTCAAACGGTGTCGACAAGCTTTGCGTACTCGGTATACCTTATGAGGTTCTCGTAGGTATAGGGTGACACAAAAAAACGGTCATATCAAATTTCGAATAATTTCGGAAGTTTTATTCAGATTATCACCAAACTTCGGCCACTTAAGGTCACACCTATGTAGCATACATCCACCAAGTTTCAAGTCTTCACTACGAATACTTTTAGTACAGTGTGTGTTTTATAGACGCTCCACAATGTGCTCCAGGTGAGCGCCACGGCGCTGCAGGGCGTAGGCACACTTGCATCCGGCGGGCAAAGCTGTCGATAACCCGATGGCTGTGCACTTTACAGAGTGCAATGGCCTCTGGAGACAGTGCTCAGGGGGTATGCTACCCCTGAAACGTTATTTTTATCGGGTTATCGGCAACTTTGCCCGCCGGATGCAGGTGTGCCTACGCCCTGCAGCGCCGGGGCGCTCACCTGGAGCACATTGTGGAGCGTCCGTAAAACACACACTGTACTAAAAGTATTCGTAGTGAAGACTTGAAACTTGGTGGATGTCTGCTACATAGGTGTGACCTAAAGTGGCCGAAGTTTGGTGATGATCTGAAAAAAACTTCCGAAGTTATTCGAATTTTGGTGATGACCGTTTTTTTTGTGTCACCCTGTACAGTCTGTCTTAAAAGTACCGCGCAAAGTGACGGTGGATCCATCATGCCTGACCGAGGAAGGGCCTACTAAATTTGAGTCACTGAAGCAATTCACATCCTCGTCCATTCCCTAGGTCAATTGGTTCGGTGACTTTCAAATTATAGCAGTATACATTTCACTTTTAGCTGCTCCTGGTCCGACCGAAATAGGTCCGCATGGTGTCAGATGAAGCTAGGTCAACGCTGAATATCAACGAGGCAGGGGGACGGCAGAAAATAGGACAGGCCAGCTGGTAAATCCTGGAATAGCTGAAGGTCGCTCACCAGCAGTGACGCAGCAACTCGGCGGCAAACCGGACGCTCGAAAACTTGTCGGTGAATTTGGCAACAGTTGGAAGGGATTTGGAGTTTGGCAACTTGCTGCGGAAAGGGCATTTCAACAGATTTAAGAGTACGGATGGTGCGGCGTAGAAATTTCACCGCCAAAACACACGCAAAAGAAAGTGGTCATGCATGGAATTAGTTAGACTTTTTGGTGCTCTGGACTTAAGTAAGGGCATTGGACTCAACGAAGACCTATGACGAACGTAAGTGTAAACGTTGTTGGAGAGTTCGGTACAACGGAACATTATTCGTAAATCTTGTGTTTGTGTTATGTGACCAGTGGGCATTCGCCACAACTCTTCGTAACAATACATACTAAGCCGGCTGATTGTTTTCCTCCAAACACATAGGTATCACTTCATGATTCTGTAAGTGACAGTCATTTCCGGACATCCTTTCTAAAGCATAAAACAGAAGATTTCTGCTATGAAGAAGCAGCAGTCAGTAGCGGCGGAACACCTTCAATTAAGGGGGGAGCACTGCCGACTTTTGGTCCCATTATTTCCATGCAACGCCCATAGGGCTAATGTTAAAATGGCAAAATGAAGGGGGGCACGGTGCCCCGGTGCCCCCCCCCGTTCCGCCGCCTATGGCAGCAGTAGCGGTGTCTTGCTCACGATCTGCCGCGCACGCCAGCCGACCATGCAGGCCAATTTTGGTGGTACGAAGCTGGATGAACAGGGCTCACTTTCGCTCTCATGGGCCATGGCGCCCAAGCGGGCCACAGATTCATCCGTATGCATTTATACAGGATGCACTTGTCGGTGACGTATGAAAGGGAGACCGGTACTTATTCGAGGACCAGACTTTCCCGACTGCTAACTTACAATCATGTACTTATGTAACAAATGAAAACATGTTTTCATCCTTCGAACGGTAACGTAAATATAGTTGACCCTCCCTTGTAACTTACTTGGTTTGAAAATTGAAACTCAGCATTTTACATTTTCCTAATGGTGGAAGATGAATGCTTTATCCTGGTCAAGCGTTATAGATATTTCTACAATCGACACTTATTTCCTCGTTTCGATGTAATTATTCCAACATACAAGTTATTTCCGAGGTGAACCGACTGACTGTTAAGTGCTACACAGCTTTGCAACCGCGAACATCCGTGGAGACTGCGTCTAGAAACAGAACCATATCGTATTTTTGCCCAGCCTTCTTGGAGACTGCATTTCCTCCTGACATCACAAGACAGTAACACCGATATACTCGGAGACTGCATGTCTGAATAAAGCACTAGCACTACGAGCGGGTTGTCGGCTGAACGCTGGTAAATTGAGAATGTTCTGGAATAGCGCCGGTGTCGGGTGAGTACAGAACAGCTATTGAGTAGCCAGTTGAGTACAATTTCGACGAATAATGTCAAACTTGTCCCTGAATTGGGAGATATTTGTATTTAGCTTTATTTCGAACATTATTTATTTATACACCTACAACAACATTCACAAACATCGAGGCTTTTCAGTTGAGGTAATTATTATGTTCACAATAAATTACTTCAAAATCCATGTTGTACCGCACAGATATTGATAGAAGTTAGAACGCAAGATCAGGGGTGGATTTTTTTGTTTTTTATTGGGGTTGCACAGCCCTGAAAGGGCGCCCAAAGCGGTTCCGAGGGGCGCAATAGCTCGGAAGTGGGCGCCACCAGGTACGGTCGTAAACTTGGCGTGGGGGGGGGGGGCGAATTGGCAAAGGGGCCCCTGTAGACCCTCGCTGGGGGGGCGGTGTGTTAGCTTAACCCGCGTACCGCGGAGGGGGGGGGGCGAATATCCGCTCCCCTCCCCCTGAAGTTTTTCTTAAGTAGCGGAAAACTTCTGAAACCAGTATGATACCCTTATATAAGCCCGGCGTAAGATCATTTAAGGCCAGTATTGAGATTGACCCTCGTAAACCGGGTGAGACCTCGCACAGCAGTATGGGTCTTTGAACTCCAACCTGGGTCTTACGAGACCTGCCTGAGCCATCAGAGGCCAGTGCGGGCCCGGGGTCATCAAAGGCCAGTGCGGGGTCGTCAAAGGCCAGTTCGGAACCTCTGAGGTGGTGTGAGCCCTTGAGGCCAGCGTTGGTCCTTGAGAGGTCAATGTGGGACCCCTTGACTGGTATGGGCCCTAAGAGACATGTGTGGTGCCAATGCGACCCAAAATAGACACAACTAACGACATGGGGATGGGGCTCTCAGAGACTAGCAGCGGCCCTTAAAAACCTGCACGGGCCAAACAGATCGACAGGGGCCCTCCGAGATCGGCA